AGTCCTAGCCAGAGAAATAAGACAAGAGAAACACATACAAGAAATTCAAATAGGCAAGGAATAAGTCAAACTATCACTATTTGCAGATTATATGATAATATTCATAGAGAACCCCAAAAATCCCACAAAAATTTTTAATCAATCAGTTTAGTAAAGTGGCAGGATACAAAATCAACACGCAAAAATCAGTAGCCTTCCCATACACAAGCAATAAATTTGAAGAAGAAGAAATCAAGAAAACCATTCTTTTTATTATTGAAACAAAAAAAAAATCAAATACTTAGGAATAAACCTAACAAAGAAGTAAAGAGCCTATACAAAGAAAACTATAAAACACTGTTAAAAGAAATAGAAGTAGACACAAAAAAATAGAAAAACATCCCCTGCTCATGGATTGGAAGAATTAACATTATCAAAATGGCCATCCTACCAAAAGATTTAATGATATTCCAATAAAAATTTCAATGTCATTCTTCAAAGAAATAGAAAAAAATATTGATGAAATTCATATGGAGCCACCAAAAACCCCAAATAGCCAAAACCCTCCTGGAAAAAAAAAAAAAAAAAGAAGGGAATGGAGCATAACTTGCCCAGATTTCAAACTATACTACAAAGCCATAATAATCAAAACTGCATGGTATTGGAACAAGAACAGACACATGGACCAATGGAACCGAACAGGAAACCCAGAAATAAACCCACAGATTTATGGCAACTAATTTTTGACAATGGAGCAAGGAATATGCACTGGAACAAAGAAAGTTTGTTCAGTAAATGGTGCTAGGAAAACTGGGTCGCTACATGCAAATAATGAAAATTGACCACTACCTCACACCATACACAAAAACCAACTCAAAATGGATTAAAGAACTAGACATAAGACCTGAAACCATAAAATACATAGAAGGAAATATAGGTGAAACACTACATGACATGCACCTCAAAGACATCTTTACAGACACAACACCCAAAGCAGTGATAGTGAAGGCAAAGATAAACAACTGGGGCTACATCAAATTAAAGAGCTTCTCCACAGCAAAAGACACAATAACCAAAACAAAGAAAAACCCCACCCACTGGGAGAAAATTTTTGCACACCACACTAATGATAAAGGACTGATCACAAAAATCTACAAAGAGCTGATGAGACTCAACAGAAACAAAGAAAATAATCCAGTCAAAAAATGGGCAGACGAGCTAAAAAGAAACTTCTCCAAAGAGGAAATACAAATGGCCAACAGGCATATGAAAAAATGTTCAACGTCACTTGCAATTAGGGAAATGCAAATCAAAACTATAATGAGATACCATCTTACACCAGGGAAGATGGCACATATTAAAAACCTAGCAACAACAAATGTTGGCAAGGATGTGGAGAAAAAGGAACTCTCCTGCAGTGCTGGTGGGAGTGCAAACTGGTCCAACCACTATGGAAATCTGTGTGAAAATTCCTCAACCTACTAACTATAGAGCTTCCATATGATCCAGCAATTCCACTCTTAGATATTTACCCAAAGTACACAGAAACACTAATTCTAAAGAGCACCGAAACCCCTATGTTTATAGCAGCACTATTTACAATAGCTAAGCTTTGGAAACAACCCAAATGCTCAAAAATAGATGACTGGATCAAGAAGATGTGGTACATATACACAACTGAATATTACTCAGCAATCAAAAAAGATAAACTCATGCAATCTGCAGCAACATGGATGGAGCTGGAAGGGATCATGCTCAGTGAAATAAGCCACAAAGAAAAAGAATAATACTGGATGGTCTCACTCATAGCAGGAATCTAGAAAACCTAAATAAGGGACCAGGAAAAAGAATAACTGTAAGCATCAAGAAAAAAAAATCAACAAACTACTATGAACTACACACTATGGGGGGCTGGGAAAGGAGAGATTGGGGTCAAAATAAGGTGGGTGCAATTGTACGGGGAATATAAAAATAAAAAATAAATAAAATATAAAAAGAGGTAGTAAAAAAATGGAGAGTCCTGGATCCCTCATTGGCTTTTTCAGGCTTTTAATGACCTTTCCACACCATTTGTAGAGAGGCAACCAGGTGCAGGGCAGACAGGAAGGCAGGAAAGGGGGAGGCTGGTAGGTCTCCCAAGCCCCAGTGAATATTTACTCTTTGGGCTCTATCTGGCATTGTTTTGTGGTCTCTTCATCACATAGGCTTTCCACTGCTCTTTGCCACACTGCTCTTTACCACATGATCCTCTGCTATGTCACCCTTATATTCACAGCCTCCAGGCTCAGGTGTGTCCACTTAAGCATGTGAAGAATATGGTGCAGAACATATTCCAGGCATCCACCATCAGACATGTGTACCCCTAGCCCATGCTCCCAAACATCTCCTGCATTCAAGGCAGCAGGTGAGTCACAGAGGTCAATGGCCCAAAGCCTGAGAAATCTTCATTTACCCTATAGCTACCTTCCGTCTTTGCTCCAACTCTTCCCACACGCCTCCCCATTTTGGATGCTTCAGTTGTATGGACAGATATCAAGGGTTAGTTTTTCATCTGACTATTAATTTAGTTAATTTATATTTCACATATTAGAGACACCATCTGGTATTTATCTTTCTCCTCTGACTTATTTCACTTAGCAATATCCTTATAAATGTCATCCCTGTTGCCACAAATGGCTTAATTTTATCTTTCTTGGTCACTGAGTAGTATTCCATTTTGTATATGTACTGTATCTTCTCGATCCATTTGTCTGTTTTTGGTCATTTAGGTTGTTTCCACATCTTGGCTATTGTAAGTAGAGCTGCTATGAACATAGGACTGTAGGTTTCCCTTTTAACTGATGATTTTGTATTTTTTGGTAAATACCTAGGAGTCTGGGTTATATAGCAAAACCATTTTTAGTCTTTTGAGAAACATCCACACTAATTATCACTGATTTCCAACAGTGTAGGAGGGTCCTTTCTTTCATAAATACTTCTTCAGTTAAGCAAAGTTGTATTTTTTTTTTTTTTGACTCATTTCAGGAAAGGAAAGAACAAATCCAATAAACCATGAAGTGTCTCAGAGAAGAATGTTAGGGAGGCCTTGTAAAAACTTTGGACTTTTGTCTTGTGATTTGAGGGAAGGTTTAAAAAAGCATGACTTTGCTATGAACTACATGCTGTCAGAAAGTAGCACTACTTTATGATTGGATATATATGGGGAGGATGTAGAAGGAATACAGAAGAGGGTCTCCCTGGTGGTGCAAGGGGTCAAGCACCACACTATGGGGCAATCCAAAGCCTCTGCAGCATGAGTTTGATCCCTAGCCTGCCAGGGAGTAAACCACATGGCAAAGCAGACCTCTGCTGCTCCCCTCAGCATTGTACCTCGGTCTCTGCCTGTTCTGTTCCCCACTCTGTCTCTGGTGAATCCTCTCATCCCCCCACTCCCTGGGTCTGTGGTCTGTGCCCCAGATCTTGTATAGCTCTTGTATGCCTAAATAAATAAATCTTTTTTTTAAAAAAAAGACTACAAAAGACTGAAACTGCAAGTAATAAAAAAAATCCCTCACAGTAGGCAATATTAGAAGCAGGTGTTTGAGATTTTCAGGATATGGAGAGTGTTTTTATTGATGACTGCACTAATATATGATCATTCTATGATTTTGCTCCATGTGGTTACATGGTAAATTTGCCTTATGTTGGTATTCTGTGAAAATGTTAATTTTAAACATGTAAACATCATGGTCTAGTTCCTACAGTCAAGCCAACACCAAGGTGATAAAAATCAGTGATTTTTTTCTCTCAACAGCAAGCAGTGAAAATGTTTGTATATATTTCTTCATGCATCTCTTTGAGAGAATCTAATGGCTGAACTATGAAGGTAATGAACATGCTGAATTTCACTTAATGCTAGATAATTGCTCTCTAAAAGTGAATGCAATCATTTATAATTCCATCTGTGGTGACTGTGGATTGCCTGCCAAAACCTGGTTTTATAATTTGAAATCTGTCAATACCCCTCAATTACTATAAATCTTCTTGGAAGTAAAATCAATTTATTATTATCATTACTATTCCCCCACTTCTTATATACTGAGTTATGAATTATTTTAAATATCCAGTTATAAAGATATTCTATTTTTATTTGGAAAATGATTCCATCAGTTAATTAATTCAATTCAAAGCAACCTAAATATTATATATTAGCAATTTAACTTATTTTAAGCCATAAATCAGAGTGTTCTCTAAAGTATGTGAATAAGCTAGGGTGATTTTTTTCAACTATATAAATAGAAGAGGAGCTAATATATATTTTTCCTATCTATAAAGCAAAACTAGGAGAAAAGTTGATTTCTCCTATAGACTCCAATGTGATGCTGGATGGAGAATGGATTTGTAGGGGATAATTAAACCATTTAGCAGGAATAAAATTAGTGCTTAATGGGATGAGACATTTGAGCATGTGTCTTTCCTCTGTGTACTACTCTATGTCAGGCTAAAAGGAAAGAAGATGGCAAATCCAGAAGATAACACTTACCAAACGGTAGTTCTACCAGGCACCTAATGTCAGACTTCCCACCCTCAAAAATGTGAGACATAATTGGTTATTTTATAAACTACTCTGTCATAATTTTATAGCAATTCAAACTGAGTCTAACAATTTCTTTTGGTAAAATAAAGAGAAATACATATTTTATATTCTTATATTCATTTTATTTTCTGTTTTCTAATTAAATATACATACTAGGAAATATTTAAATCTGATGACAACTGCTAGTACAAACTTAAATCTAGCAAACATTAAATAAACCATTTTATACAATTACACAGAAAATTTCAAAAAACATCTTTTTAAATTAGAAATTACTACATACATAATTAGTAACTAGTTTAGCCTTAGCTTAAAAAGTAACAAGAAATAATTAAATTCTTCTAAATCTGTTTAAAACATTGAACCCTGCCACATTTAATACAACAAAATTAGCTTTGGCATTGATTTACACTGTGCAATAGCCTTAGTTAGGTGTAACAAAATTTTTAATATATTTCATGGGATATAAGAAACTAAGTAAGAGGGAAAATTTAAAGCATCATGGAATTTAAATCCAGGTGTCTATTTTGCTGTGTCAACTTAAATTGATGATGATCTTCAAGACCAGGTGATTTTTATTGGTTCATCTAGAACAACATTATTCATTTTCAGATCAATATTTAATATCTAAAAACAAAAAGTAAAAGGATAGTTAATTGTTTAATCATAAATATGTGTTCCTCACTCTTGTGAATCCTCTCACACTCACCCCCTGCACCTCTGACCTACACCCCAGCACTTGTAAGCATAAATACATAAAATAAATCATTAAAAAAATTCCATTGTTAGAGCAATTACATCATTTGTTGCATATAATTCCCACACCAGTGGAGAAGGGCAATCAGAATAGAGAAAGAAGATGACCATCCCCATACATTTATATGGGCTTGAAAAAGAGATGTCCATAAATACTTGTTTAATTTAAATAATTTTAGAAGAATTTGTCCCCTTGTTAGAACCAAAAGTTAATCTCTTCTTTTGGAAAAATTGATAAGGAATCACAATAAAAATATTTTAATAGTTAAAATTCTTTGGGAATGCATTTGAAAGCAATGGGATGGACTTCTTCACAAATGGTATTTTTATATGCCAAGAATTTGGTGAACATAAACTTAAAAATGATATTTGAGGTGTTAAATTACACTATTAGGCATTGTCAAACAGTTTTAGTTTATTTTTATAGTAAAATGTGTGAGTTTTTTTTTTTTGTTCACCATTGTAGTAATAAGAAGAACAAGAATATATATAAGATAAACAATCTTTTGGATTAGTTTTGAGCATTGGGTAGTGCAGCGCAACTGATTTCTAACTGTTATTGTTAACCAGTGACTAATTGTTCCTTTGAAATTTACTTTTCATTTCACGAATGCAGCTTCTTGGTTTGACATATAACACTGTTGATATAAATGTGTGATTATCTCAATTTTGGAATTTCATAAACCAGCAAACATATTTAAAATATTAATATGGAAGTGAGATTCATATTCATATCACCAAAGAAGGTGATTAAATATACAAACTATAATATTACAACCTTGATATAACTTATTTAAAGCCAGTATAGTAAGAAAAACAGAGTTCTTCATTACCGGGGAATTCCACTTGCCAACCAAAAAACAGTAGAGTAGCACAGCTGCTAACCTTCTAATAGAGCTCTCAGGTGACTGCTCAACTTTCACATTCTATGAAATCCTGACTCCCTGTTTAGTGTGTGAATTAAATCCTCATATATCTAATTCATAGTTGCTAACAGACAGTCCTATTATTTTATAAGCATTTTAAAATATTTTATCTAATACATATATTATGTTTAAATATAGGTATTTTATTTTGTAAAAATAAATTTTGAAGCACTTTATAATATAGGGATAACAATGATTTATAAATTTATTTAATGTAATCCTAGTTTGATTCTGTTAAGACAATCTAAATGGTAAGATATTATCAGGTTGAACTGTATGACAGGTGAGTAAAAATGGAAATTGCACGGCACTTTAATGCAAATGAATAAATGTTTTCATATTTGTTCAGTCATAATTGATTTTCATAATGTTTCTTTAAGACTGAGAAGTATAACAAGCCAAGGAAGACATTTTTAATATCTCCATTTAATCAATATTTTCTTATGTCACTTACCTCCTTGTCTGGTTCTTCAGAAAATGTAAGCGTCTCATATCTTCCATTATATAGGAGATTAACATTATTTACAGAAGTCTTTCCTTTTCCCCATATACTGATGAATCCAAGTCTCATTTCACTTCTCTCTATGTAACCATTTTTCAATATAGTGCTTGTTAAGGTGGTCTACAAAGATGAGAAGAATAATTTAAAAAATTTATTTGCAAAATCATTTAAATTTGTTAGTTAACACATATTTCATAGTACAGTAAATTGTTTATAAATCTATTTGAAATGAGGTATTTTTATAATATAAATGAATATAAAATATGACAGATCACTTTAAATATTATTTAACAATATTACATATAAATGATAACATGAATACACACCTTGTTTAAATTAAACTGTACCAAGGAATACAGATCTTTTTCATAAGTATCTGTAGAGAAAAAAGAAAAAAAAAAGATCTATTTAAATTTCAAAATAATTAACATAGTAAATACTAATTAATTTTGCTTCTCTTTCTCAATATAAAATATAAAATGAATGCATACATTCATTACACATCTAACTATACTCTGTTTATTTCACTATTTCAAATACAATCCAAGGAACACTTAAATGTGATGAATCACTAGAGAGTTTCCTAGAAGGACAGGGATGGTTTGTGTGTGTGTGTGTGTGTGTGTGTGTGTGTGTGTGTGTGTGTGTGTATAACAATATAGCAGTTACAATTTTATAACCAGATTTATACTGGTCTGGGTAAAAGCACAATAATAAACAGAATTTTTTCATGAGAGTAGTAGATCTTTACTGGCCACCTTAATGACTGACAATAAAATAATATTTATAAATAAAAAGGACTGTGGGGCCTCCCTGGTGGCGCAGTGGTTGAGTGCTGGGCTGCAAAGCTGCCCACAGGCGCTGCAGCGCCGGTTCGATCCCCAGTTGCCAGCGAGGGTCCCACATGGCATGCAGACCTCTGCTGCCACGCCCACTGCTCCCCTCAGCAGTGTATTTCCTTGGTCTGCCTGTTCTGTTCCCTGCTCTGGCTCATGTGAATTCTCTCACCCTCCCGCACTTCTGACTGTACCCAGTGCTTGTATAAATAAATAAATAAATCTCTAAAAAAAATGACCTTACAGCTAAAACTATTTGTGTTTATTATTTGTCAAAACAGGTAGTTTATCACCACTGCTCTAAAAGACACATATCAGTATTATTCCCATTGTATAGAAGAGGAAATAGAGCCCTAGAGATGTTAAATGGCTCAAAGTGAAATACAGAATTATTATCAAGTCTGAATTTTAGCTAAGTTTTCTTTCACTTCTAAGAATAAGTTGTATTGTAAATCCAAGCCAACATGCGTAAGACAAGAATGTAAAATTAGAGATAAACTCATGATTTTAAATCCTTAAACTTTGTTTGAGGAAGAAAATATTGCATATTAGAAGATATAGTTCTAATAGTCATAAAGTACACAGACCAAAATTGAGGTTTGTCTCTGGACTATCTCCTTGTTTTAGTAGTATCCGTTATGCAACAATATGTGCATACAGAACATGAGTTTACAGCTTGGCTGATCTCACATACATTTTATTATATGAATGATACTGCATAATCTTCAGAGAATACAAAGGTTATCAATTTAGTACAAACTTTGCCTACACAAATCTCTTAATATACAGGCATTTACAATAGTTATCAATTATATTTAATATAAGAAGGAAGTCTGCACATATTTATAAATTATTTTTGTTGTTGAGTATTATTAAACTAATTTAGATTTGAATGCTATTATTAACTTTCTATAGAAACTACAAATACAACAGAAGTAACATAAACATAATATGAAATAAAATGAAATGATAATGAAATAATATAAAAAACATAAAAATAATAACATAATAATAATGTCATCGATAATGTTTATCTATTAAATGGAACACTTACCTATGCTTTCCCCATCATCCCAAAACAAAGATCCTTGTGCCATCTGCATATCATCAGCAGCAACAATTAGCTTCATGAAATTTTTTCGGCTATAAGAAACCAACATAAATGTACCCATACTTATAGAAATGTGTATTATTGCTATGATATTATATGATATGTAAATATCCAAAGGAACACAAATAAGAATTTCAATTAATGGGCCTCCCTGGTAGCAAAGGGGTTAAAGTCTCAGTGCTATGAGGCTATTGCCAACCACTGAGGCATGAGTAAGATTCCCCAGACAGGGAGCTGTACACATGGTGCAGTAAACCTCTTCCGTCTTGCCTGCTGCTCCCCTCAGCAGTGTATTTCAGTAGATCTGCCTGTTCTGCTCCCCACTTTGACTCTGGTGAATCCACCCCACCCCACACCTCTGGCTTATACCCCAGTTCTTCTACACATAAATAAACAAAAATAAATCTTTAAAGAAAAAGAATTTCAATAAACAAGAGTTAAGTCTGTTAGGCAAAGAAAATAAAAGGACCTTCCTTTTTCACTCAGTTAATGGGAATGATAAAATCCATAAAGTCCTTCATATTTAAGGGAAAATGTCCCTATCTTTTTGATCTCAATAGATTACCTACTATAACAAAACCATTAGCACTCTCACTTTTATATAGTTAAAACTATATAAGTTTAATGACATATTTAATTATTCTGTTCTCTGGTGATCCTGTCTTTGACCATTTTTTAGCAATTCACTTATTTTCTTATTTGTCAATTGTTTACATAGCTATGCAACTTTGGGTACTTTTTCATACATGCATATATGCACATGATTCAAACCATGAAAAATTAAATAGCATTTACTTTCATCATTTGGGACTTATATATAAACTTATATTTAAATATATTTAAACTTAAAATTGAAAGATTTTAATTTTTATATATGTGTGTGTATATATATATATATATATATATATATATGAATCCATGTACTGCATTCATCTATCTAAAAGTAACTAGAGTGAGAGACAGAGAATGAGAGAGAGCAAGGGAAAGCAGAGAGAGTGAGAGAGAATGAATGTAAGAATGAATGGCATTTCTCCTCCCACAACAGAAGGACTCCTAAAGCACATTTCATGCTTATGAATGCTTCCACAGATCTGTCAGTTCTCAAGCATAAACATTTGTCTTCTTTATAATTTATATCAGAGTAAAATATTGATTGAGGGCCTCCCCTGGTGGCGCTGCGGTTGAGCGCTGGGCTGCAAGGCTGCTTGCAGCCTCTGCAGTGCTGGTTCATTCCCCGGCCACCCACGAGGGTCCCACCAAAAAAAAAAAAAAAATATATATATATATATATATATATATATATATATATATATATATAGAGAGAGAGAGAGAGAGAGAGAGAGAGAGATTGAAACTTATCTGGTGCTTTCAGTAAGTAGGAAGATTATATTCATGTAAACTAGGGTATCAACACATAGATGACCAAGAAAGTAGACATAGCATGAGAAGAGACAAGTAACGGGGACCAAGTCCTTTCATATTGAACATTTAAGGTAATAATTTAGCTAGAGGAAATATAGACTTTGTGACTAGTTTAAAATCACTAGCCATTCTATACATAATCAATCAATCTGAAGAAGAAGAAATCAAGAAAACCTTTCCTTTTAGAATTGAAACAAAAAATCCAAATACTTGGGAATAAACCTAATGTAAGAGGTGAAGGACCTATACAAAGAAAATTATAAAACACAGTTAAAAAGAAATAGGAGGGGGCCTCCCTGGTGGTGCAAGGGGTTAAGACGCAACCTTTGAAGCTATTTGTAGCCACTGCAGCACGAGTTCAATTCCTAGCCAGGGAGTTACCCACATGGTGCATCAGGCCTCTCCTGACTCGCCTGCTTCTCCCCTCAGTGTATTTCAGTACATCTGCCTGTTCTGTCCCCTACTGTGTCTCTGGTGAATCCTCTCACCCCTCTCCCTGCAGCTCTGGCCTGTACTCCAATTCTTGTATGCATAAATAATCTTTAAAATAAAGAAATAGAAGATGACACAAAGAAATGGTAAGACATACCCTTCCCATGGATTGGAAGAATTAACATTATTAAAATGGCCATCCTACCAAAAGCAATTTACAGATTCAATGCCATTCCAAGAAAAAGCTCAATGGCATTCTTCAAATAAATAGAACAAATTCTGATGAAATCCATATGGAACCACAAGAATTGAACTATCACACTTCCAAACTTCAAACTATACTACAAAGCCATAATAATTAAAGCGGTATGGTTACGTTATTGGAACAAAAACAGACACACAGGCCAATGGAACTGAATAGAGATCCCAGAAATAAAGCCACACTTACATGGACAACTAGTCTTTGACAAAGGAGCAAATAATATGCAATGGAACATGGACAGTTTGTTCAATAAATGGTGCTGGGAAAACTGGACCACCACTTGCAAAAGAATGAAACTAGACCACTACCTCTCAACGTGCACAAAAATCAACTCAAAATGGATTAAAAAAAACAAAACTGGACATGAGACCTGAAAATACAAAATATATAGGAGAAAATATAGGTAAATCACTACAAGACATACATCTCAGTAACATATTTAAAGACTCACCACCCAAAGCAAAGAAAGTCAAGAAAAACATAAATACCTTGAATTATATCAAACTGAAAAGCTTCTGCACAGCAAAGGAGAAATTAACCAAAAAAAAGAGACATCCCACTGATTGGGGAAAAAAAAAAAAAAAACTTTTGCACTTCATACAGCTGATATACACAGAGACATACAAGGAACTCACAACACTCAACAAAAACAAAGTCAACAATCCAGTCAAAAAATGGGCAGAAGAATTTAAAAGACATTTCTCCAAAGAGGAAATGCAAATGGCCAGGGCATATGTAAAAATGTTCAGCATCCCCTATTATCAGGGAAATGCTAATCAAAACCCCATTGAGATACCACCTGGCACAAGTCAGAATAGCACATACCAAAAACAAAGCAAAACAAAACAAAACAAAACAAGCAACAACAAATGTTGGCAAGAATGTGGTGAAAAAGGAACTATTCTACACTGCTGGTGGGAGTCCAAACTGTTCCAATGGCTATGGAAAGCTGTCTGGAGGTTTCTCAGTCTACTAAAAATGGAGCTACTATATGATCCAGCAATTCCACTCCTTAGGGATCTACCCACAGGACACAAAAACATTGATTCAAAAGAACATCTGTATACCTATGTTTATTGCAGCACTATTTATAATAGGTAAACCCTAGAAACAATCCAAATGCCCTAAAATACATGACTGGATCAAGAAGATATGGAATATATACACAATGGGATGCTTGCTATTCAGTTATCAGAAATATATACTCATGTCATTCACGGCAATGTGGATGGAGCTAGAAGGAATTATGCTCAGTGAAATAAGCAGAAGGGAAAAAAGAATAATATCAGATGTTTCACTTACAGGACAAATATAGGGGAACCAAATAAGACATCAGTGTTAAAAAATAATAACAACACAAAACACAAAAAAAACATAAGCAGACAATTATAAACCAGACACATCCTGCAGGGGAGGAGGAGGGAGAGGGATCAGAGGGAGGGAGGAAAGAGTACAGGGGACTGTGGTGATGGTGCACAGGTGCATTGGTGAAGGAAATTCTATAGGTACTACATCTGAGGAGGGGGACAAATATTGTTTAAAAATGATCAATGATGTAAAAAATAAATAAATAATAAACATTAAAAAAAAAAAAGAAATTCACTCTTGCATCAGTCACAAGAGGAATAGTGAACAATTGATCCCTGAGAGATAGGAGAGAGATTATACTAGGTAAGAGAAAACAGGTAAGATCATCTTGCCTATAATTATCAGTTATGAATGGTGATGGATAGAATCTGTGGATTATCTTTCATCTTTAAATGGGAAACAGGAGTGAATCTGGTTCTTCTGTGGGCAGAAGTGAACTCAATAGTTATGGAATAGTGACATTGTCAACAGATAGCTACATTTTTGTGGATAAAATGAGTCAGAGTACATCACAAGACAACAGCATTAGGTGTGGGGAAACATAAAATAGAGAAAAATATTATCTGCAATATTTATTTTGGTGTAATAAAAATTTATTTGAAGTGAAAATAGATTTTTTTCCAAAAATGTCACACAAAAATCAAAGACTGAGTTAAATCAACCAATCAAATTACAAGCCATTCATATTCAGTTTTAGTTGGTACTTTGGTCTCAGATGCTTCCTCACTAGAAGAGGGATAACTTATTAAGAAACAATTCTCCATAAGTCTCATGTTTCTGCATATCTCATATACAGAGGCACTGGCAGGTTTACTTCTGAACTATCTTCAAAAGGATACTTTTAATGCAAACATCATGGGGCCTCCCTGGGTGCGCAGCGGTTGAGCGCTGGGTTGTGAAGCTACCCGCAGCCTCTGCAGCACTGGTTCCATCCCCAGCTGCTCCCCGGCCACCAGAGGAGGGTCCCACATGGCGCGCAGACCTCTCCTGCCACCGCTGCTCCCCTCAGCAGTGTACTTCGGTCCTTCTGCCTGCTCTGCTCCCCGCTCTGGCTCTGGTGAATTCTCTCACCCTCCCGTGCTTCTGACTGTACCCAGTGCTTGTATAAATAAATAAATAAATAAATCTTTAAATAAAATAAAGCAAACATCATGGGAAGACAGGTCTGGGATGTGGTATTTTAAAAATATTATTATTTTTCATTTATTTATCAGTATAAAAAAGATATATCCTTCCTTTGAGACAAATAATGGACACTTTTTTTCCAGTCCATTAAAAGAGTGGGCTTCTCTAGGTTTGGAGTATCTTAAAAACCTCCTGCATGTGGACCAGACTATATCACCCCCATGATATTTGGGGGACAGGGGATTCTAAAACAAATACGAAGTTCGCATTTTTTTTTTTTTTAAGATTTATTTATTTATACAAGCACTGGGTACAGTCAGAAGCGTGGGAGGGTAAGAGAATTCACCAGAGCCAGAGCGGAGGATAGAACAGGCAAACTGATGAAATACGCTGCTGAGGGGAGCAGCGGGTGCGGCAAGTGAGGTCTGAGCACCATGTGGGACCCTAGCCTGCCGGCTGGGGATCAAACCGGTGCTGCAGAGGCTGCGGGCAGCTTTGCAGCCCAGCGCTCAACCGCCGCGCCACCAGGGGAGGCCCCGAAGTTCACATTTCTTGCTGAATAATGAGTGGGGAAGAACTTCTCTCTGCCTCAACATGAAACTACAGTTGACTAACTTGTTAGCTTGAAAGTAGGATGCAATCTCAGACCCTTTCCAGTTCTCTGCAATTCTAACATGCTCTATCTACAGATTTAATGTGGGCTTTGTAAACATCTTCGCTTACCTGTTAAATGTATTTCGGGAAGGTTCTTGACATGGTAAGATGTGACCACCACGAACATGTAGGTTTATTGTATATAAAGGAGCTTTAAATTCATTAAATGTTCCTCTGAGACCAATATCTTCACCCTGGAAATGAGAGAGTTGGAAGGACGAACAAAATCAGCAAGAAATGGAATGTTTAGCAGTTTTGGTACTTGACACATTTATAGAATGAAATGACGATTTTTGAATTAAAATATAACAAAAACAAAAACATCTATTTAGGAATGTCTTCTTTAAAGAATACCATTTGTTCTTAGCCCTTAGTTTATTGATTGCTTTGGAAGTAATTTACCACTACCTATTTTTAATGCTCTAAAATGAAGAAAAGATGTATTTTTGAAAGTTAATAAAGCTATTCCTGATGTGTCATATAACTTTTATTACAAGAACTGAATTTTATTTAGAATAATTTTGCATATCCACAAAAGGAAAATTACCTTTTTGTGTATAAAATGCAACTCCCATGTTTGTTTGGTAAAATAAATCAATGATTATATAACAAATTATGTCACAATAAATTAACTCTATTTCACTATGTATTAATTTGATTCAGTTATAATTAACAAGAAATATCTTACTCTCTATAAGTGGAAACTAAACCATATATGCCATAAATTAAAATAATAGGACCAAATTATCACACATTTCTCTTAAGTTAATTCCCCAGAATTTCTTAACAACTTACTGTATGGTAATCAAACCAGCGAGCATAAGGGACATAGCCATTTACAACTTCGGTATCCTAGAATTAAAGATGCAGACATTAAAAACATACAAATCAAGGGAAATTTATTTTTTGAACAAAAATACGAACTGGGACTTACAGCTTCTAATACAGGAGTAACCATAAATGCCGGACCCCACAAGAACTGCTTGTATATATCCCAGGTTACTGTGTCATTAAAGAACCTTGAAAAAATATGTACAAATAATTTAATTAAATCTTTATTTCTATAAAGTACAATAATCACTTAAATTACATTAGAAAATGAAACTTTGTACATTAAAATTAGAGCAAGCTACAAAAAATGAACAGTTCTATCACTTGGAATTTAATGTGCAAGGTATAATACTTTATGAGTAAATCTAATCTATTTCTAACCTGATAGAATGCAGAGAACTTTGATGAACAACTAATTGAAAACTCTGCTTTAAAAATAACTCATAAACAAACCAAGAATTAACTTTGCCCAGTATAAGATAAACAAACTAGAAAGCAAAAACTATGAATAAACACTCTGGAAGAAAAATGAAAAATGTGTGTATCAGTATCTTGAATTAGCAATTTTAAAACATTTGTTCATCTTACTTAAAGCAGATCTTACTGCATAGTGGATTTACATTTTCTTAAAGGTTCTTCTCTTTTTTAATAGAATTATAAATCTGAGACATAAATACCTGGAATATACAAAATCATTTTTTTCCCCAAAAGTTTGAGAAAAGCCACTATTTAGTAGCCATATTTCTATTTTTTTCTTTTCTTTAGATTTATTTATTTATGCATACAAGAGCTGGGGTATATGCCAGAGTTGCAGGGAGTGAGAGGGTTCACCAAAGGCAGAGTAGAGAACAGAACAGGCAGACTGACTGAAGTACACTGCTGAGGGGAGCAGCGGGCTGCAGTGGCTGCTGACAGTCTCATAGGTTGTGTCTTAACCCCTTGAGCCACCAGGGAGGCCCAAGTACCCATATTTTTTCTCTAATTGAAATTAAAGTGCAGTTTTTGTTGGTTTGTTTGTTTTAAACCGAGATTAGTGCAAAATTGGAATGCTGAAATTACTTCTCCATGAACTTCCCATGGGGAAAATGTCCCAGAAAGTATCAATAGGACAAGGAACTGCATAGTTAATAATTTTTCTCTTTGGAGACCCAATTTAGACCTGACACTGCTGTGGGAAGTTAATAAGGAAAAGCCAAAAGAAAAAGTATGAACACGAAAGTGGCAAGATATTAATAAAATGTCAGCAGAAACATTGAAGGGACTATGATGATAAGTTAATAAAGCAACTAGAGGATAATTTGAATTGAAGGAAATCTTTAAGTAAACCGCATCAAAACAGTGGTCAATCTATTATTATGGCAATTTTAGGTTACTATTGCTTTAATTTGAATAAATATTTGCTATTTACATTTTAATGGTTTAGCAAAAATACAATCTAACAATTCTTCTTATTCAATTACTCTGCTATTACAGGTTACACAAAAATCTAATTCAAGCTTTATTTGTATTTTTGTTTGAATCTGTTTTTTTATTTGTTAACAACCACAATTTATTTGCATTTTTTAAAAATTAGAACATGCTAAAATTTCAGCAACTGTGGCCATGAAAAAAGAATTTCTATATTTGATGTAGAATTGGTATTGATTTATTTAACTGCTAATAGCTTCAATCAAAGCAATTACAATATAAGATATTATTAATTCCCAAGAATTTTTTTAAATGTTCAATGTAATAGAGTATATGCAATCATCTACAATAACACCTAGTACATAGTAGTTAGACCCAAGAAGAATGATTACTTATTAATAAGTGATTAATATTTATTTGTGTATATATTAGTAAAACCAAAAGGTATATATACTATAGGGGACTATGGTGATGATGCACAGGTAAACTGGTGGTGGGAATTTCATGAGGAAATCATATACTGTACAAAAATGAAGGGTGATGTAATAAATATATATATATATATATAAACCAAAAAACCCAAAAGATGCTACAATGCAATGAAAAACTTTTCAATTTAAAATAGCCTATATTGTACAAGACATTATCAACTAAATTAAATGAAATATATAATTCTGTAGTATGAAAAGAAATTTATACTCACTCATGCAAAAGGGGTCGGATGACAGTGCCACCATTAGCATGAACTTCATGCATCTGTGTATAAAAATAGGGCAATAAAGTATATCTAATATTTAGAATTTCCCTTGACATGTTAGCAAAAGTTTGATTCCAGGAAACAGGATCTTGTCTCTGCAACAGAGCAAAATATAATAGTCACAAACTCTTATTTTTGCTTAAGACATAATCGTCAATACATATTTTGAAAATAATAAGGTAATAATATTAACATGTCACAAATTATATTCTGTAGTCACTAAAATCTTATGCGAACATATTTCTATGCCATGTGATGCAAAATACAGTATTAATAGTTTAATAATAAAATTGCAAATTAAGCCCATGGATTGATTTATTTTATATGGACATATGTAAAGAGTGGTTCACATGAATAGGTGAAAATTACATTGTCAACTATGGTGATAATCTAGGTTGGGGTGAAAATTCTAGGAGATCTACGAAATCCACATGGTGACTTTGTACATTGCATTGTATTCTCATGGGAAATGAATAAATTATGTTACTGAAGAATTAACAGTATAAGAAGTAATGTCCTAATATTGGAGAGAAGAAAGAGCATGTCCAAGTGTGTTGTGGGCTACATACTACAAGCCAAAGACTAAAATTGATATTGTAAAAAAAAATGTATTTACTGGTCAAAACTTATCGTTAGGTAAAATGATTAATACTGTATATTTCAGTGGTTTTAACATTTGCCTTTTAAATCTGTTCATTTTATGCATGGATTCTACTATTTCAAATGACTTTTGACATTTCACTATTTAGTTTGAAGCTGATTTTTTTTTAACTGTTCCACAGCAGTTTGAAAGAAATGCAGAAGCAGATTATATAGAACAGTAGAAAGTATGCTAGCTAACAAAGCCATGTGCCAAAAATTATAAAGAAGAGTAAACCAAGTTAAAAAATCTAAAAGTGCTGGGTTTAAACGTACTCAGAAATGTGAAAAGTCTCAAAGTATTCATCTGCAAATCATCCAACTAAGATCAATTCTTAGATCAATAAATTCTAAGATCAATAAATTTAGAGGTGGAGAGAGATTAAAGTATATGTAGTAATTACATACTCTAGTAAATGCAATGTTGTGATTTCTTGAGTATGGATAAAATGCTCCAAGTTGCATCCAGCGGGCACAGAGTTGATATTCTGAATTGTTGAAGAAACCACAGATATCTGCTCCAGTCTAAAATATATTGTTATATTTAATTCACATTTAATAGATGGCTTATTAATATTTGCAAGTTATGAAGATAAAAGGAACAGAGCCACTTACATAAGATATCCCAAAGAGACTAAATTCCATCATACCTAAAATAATTAGAACAACAAAATTAGAAAGCTACGTTTTTATATATTTTAATATTTGCTTTTGTCCTATTTATTAAGATTTTTTAGCTCTAATAAAAACCTCTCATTCAAGGAAATATTTATCAGATTATTAATATGCATTGTATCATTTATTTTATATTCATACATATTTTTACTCTATAATGTTATGAAATCTAAGCGTTCTTGACTCTTGAAAGATGACATATTTAGAGCAAAACACATACTATATAGTGAGAAGGAAGTGGTCATGGTTTTGTTGATTTCATTTTTCATATTAAGAGTTTGTGTCTGCAATATTTTAACCGTAGGTCTTATCATTTGAAACAACTGAATCACTCTTATTAAATAGAAGCTGGGCCTCCCCGGTGGTGCAGTGGGTTGAGCACCATGCTATGAAGCTGTCTGCAGCCTCTACAGCACAGGTTCGATTCCTGTTCAGCCAGGGAGATACCCACATGGCTCAGCAGTCCTCTCCTGCCTCGCCCGCTGCACCCCTCAGCAGTGTCTTTGGTCAGTCTGCCTGTCTGTTCCCCACTCTGTCTCTGGTGAATTCTCTCACCCTCCCGCACCTCCAACCTGTATCCCAGTTCTTGAATAAATAAATAAATCTTAAAAAAACAAGCCAGTGAATAATGGTCACTTCAATTAAACAAAATGCTTTGATTTTTTAACACTCCTTTTAAAGGAATGTTTCTATTATCTTCCTTGAACCCTACTATTAAAGGTAAAAAAATATTAAAATATATATGAAATAAAAATATCCATCTCTTAGAGAGGCAACTCTAGACATTGTACAATTCCCTGGAGGGATTTCGCTGACATGTGAGTGGGCAAAGATCCAATTGTCTGGGGCCTCCCTGGTGGCACAGTGGGTTGAGCACAGCAAGCTGTGCGCAGCCTCTGCAGAGTGGGTTGGATTCCTGGCCAGCCAGGGAGATTCCCACATGGTGCAACAGACCTCTCCTGTCTCGCCTGCTGCTCCCCTCAGCAGTGTATTTCAGTGAGTATGCCTGTTTATGCTCCCTGCTCTGTCTCTGGTGAATCCTCTCCCTCCCACGCCTCTGGCCTGTACCCCAGTTCTTGAATAAAAATAGATAAATCTTTAAAAAAAAAGATCCAACTGTGCAATTGTGTGCAATGGGAACTATGTAGACTTAGAAAAAATTGGGAAGTCTGCAATTAGAACGGAACGTGCACCCAAAGCAAATTCACCTATCCACCTGTCTAGAAGAAATCACAGAGAAACCAGGCTGAGCAAGGCCAGACTTCATAAAAAGTACAACAATAGAAAGAAGGACTTTAGAATTAACTCACAATTCTCTAGAAAGTAAACAAAGGACACATATACATCCCAGGCATTCAAGAGCTGCAGGTAAGCAAGGTTGGGGCAGTTATTGTGGGTGGCCATAGTGTTATGTTGCCACACAAGTGTCTGCTACATACACAGCACTGCCTTTTAGACAAGTGCAAATCAATCCCAGAACATGATCCTGGTGGTCCAGATGCTGCTCTTTCCAGTGGGAGAAGCAAACTTCATAGATACTGACCCTCAGCAGAAAAGACCAGCAGGGAGGCAGGATGGAAACTAATACAACCTAAGCATAGAATACAATGCTGTGGAATGAAAGAAGAGATAGAGGCAACTAACATAATTTCTCAAACTGAGAAGAAGGATTAAAGTCCCCAATCTCTCTTACCTCACACCAAGGTAAACTAAGAAGAGAAACAAGGCAAGAAAATTTATCTCAGGGCTCCCACCACACACAAGAGCATGCATTGCTGTAAACAAGGCAATACACATGCCAAGCAAGCAAGTTACAATCACAACACAAGATGGAAACGCAAAGCAAGAAGGACAGAAGTCCTGGAATAAATACCAAAGAATCTGATTAGACAAAATATCTGATAACAACTTCAAGTTAGCAACATTAAAAAGTATAAATGAGATACTGGAAGGTCAGCTATAGGCAGAAAAACAAACACAAGATCTCTGAAAGGATAACCAGGAACAAAGAGCATTCTTACCAAAAGATAGTGAATATATTATAAAGGTCACACAAAGAGGTTCTTAATGAAATTTAGATGACTATAGAAAAGGATTTCAATAGAATTTGACTGGCAGAAGAAAGAAGTTCAGTTGTAGACGATGCAAGTAACAAATTGCAAATTTAGAAGAAGTCAAGAGAAAGGAAAAATGAGGAAACCAGACTAAATTAGAAGAGGAAATCTAATAATTACAAGTGCTCCAGAAGGGAGAAAAAAATAGGAGCATAAACATTATTAAAAAAATAATTAAGACCTTCTGAACCTACACAATGCATTAAATATGGATGTCCAGGAAGCATAAAGAACACCTAAATTTTAAAATGCAAAAAGACCTATAACCACTGTGAAATTATCAAAAATAAAATATAAAGAAAAATTTTGCAGAAAGTTAGGAAAGAAAATAACTTCCAAATACTTCCAAATTGGGATCCTCCCTGGATTTCAGCCTAGACAACAGTTAAGAGGAGAGTAAAGGAAATATTTGCAATCATAAAATACAAAAACTGCCAGTCAGGACTCCTCTATCTTATAAAATTATCAATTAAGTATGAAAGTGTAATAAAGGTTTTCTCAAAGAACAGAATTAGCTAATTAAGTTTGCCATACATTCTCTTTAAGTAATCCTGAAAGGAGCTTTTCTACAAGAAAAGAAAAACTGAAAACACAAACTCCGGATCAAATGACAATGATAATATAGCACTAGAAGCATGAGCAAGAATACTAGGAGTCAACAACAAAATACTATTGTGGGGGGAGGGGAAGTATGGGCAGAACTTGTTCAGTTAAATATCAGAGAGCAGACACCAGCTCATAAAGGAATACAGGACCTCACATAAGAATTTAAGTAAAGCCCCCATAGTATCTACTAATCAGAGAAGAAGACGTGAAAAATTTGTAGACATACTACATAAAAACATCCAGGAATAAAAGAGAAAATTAATGGAAAAGGAGACAAAATAAACATAAAACAATCAAAACAAACAACAGATAATAAAATGTTCATATCAATAATCACTTTAATTGTGAGTGGTCTGAATTTACCAATAAAAAACACAGAGGTAAAAGATGTGGGAAAAAAAAAATCCAACTATCCACACTCTGTTTATAAGAGAACCATTTAAAACTGAATGACAAAAGCAAACTATAAATCATATGCTAGAATAAAGTCACAAATTCCAGTAACTCAAAATGCAAATTAGGAACTGCTATTCTCATAGCCAGTAGTCTGGACTTTCAACCTAAAATGGTGTTGAAAAAATGGTAATCATGGACAAATATAAACACTGTTCCATGATCAATGGCACCATCTCCAAGAAGATGTAACTATTATTAGCATTCATGTTCCAAATATAGGAAGACATTGTTATAAGGTAACTATTAAAGCTAAAAAAATATATATACATCAGGACTTCCCTGGTGATGCAGGGGTTAAAGATAGCACTATCAAGCTGCCAGCCACTACAGCAGGAGTTCTATCCCTGGCCCACCAGGGAGCTAACCCACATGGTGCAGCAGACTTCTCCTGTCTCGCCTGCTACTCCCCTCAGCAGTGCATTTCAGTTGATCTGTTTGTTCTGCACTCCACGCTGTCTCTGGTGAATCCTCTCACCCTCTGCACCTCTGGCCTGTATCCCAGTTCTTCCTTGAAAAAGTAAATAAAATATTTTTAAAAAATCAACAAAAATACAATAATTGTTGAAGACTTCAACACACCACTGACACAAAGGAATAGATTGGCCAGACAGGAAATTAACAAAGAAATAAAACTCTAAATGAAGTGTTAAATCAGATGGATTCACTGGACATTTATAGAACTTCATATCCTAAAAATAATGAATACTATTCTTCTGTAGTACACATAAACATTCTCAAGAGAAGAACATATAATAGGGCATATGTCTCAGAAAATACAAGGGTATGGAAATAATACCAAGCATCCTCAATGCTATAAAGCCAGAAGCGAACCATAAAAGGAATCCTAAAGTGAACCAAATATATGAAAACTAAACTAACTGCCTCTGAAAAACTGTTGAATCAATGAACAAATCAAAGACGATATGAAAATATATTGAAATTGATGAAAAAAAAGAGAGAAGCTACTAGACCCTATTGGATGCTTTAAAAGAAGTGTTACATGGGAAGTCAATGACAATACAGGCCGATGTCAAAAAAAAAAATCCCCATTTAACAATCTAACTCTGCAGTTAAAGAACTAGAAAAATACAGCAACAAAGCAATCGAAAACCAGAGCAGAAATAAATGAAATAGAGAACAAAAAATATAGATCAGTGAAACAATCAGTTCTGATCCCGCAGATCAGTGAAACAAAAAATTAGTTCTTTGAATAATTAAGCAACATTGATAATAAATTAGCTATACTTATGAAGATGAGTTAAAATCCAAATTAATAGAATCAGAAATTTAATAGGCAAAATTATAACATATACTGCAGAAATATACAACATCATAAGAACTTATTACAAAATTCTCTAGGCACATGATTTGGACTTTCAGAAGAAATGGACAAATGATTAGATTCATACACAAATGCTGAAGTTGAAAGAGTAATAAAAAGCTTCCTCATGAATAGCACAGGAGCAAATGTTTTTTTCAGTGACTTCTACCACATCTATAAAGAAGATCTAATACATATCCTATTAAAAATCATAAAAAAAATGACAGTGAGAAAATTTTCAGACCAAATTCTATGAGGCCAACATTATCCTGTTTCCAAAATGAAAAATAGTAATATGAAAACATAAAATTATAGACCAATATCTCTAATGAACATGATGCAAAAATTCTTGATAGAATACAGCAAAAAATAAAGTGGATTTTCCACCACTATCAAGTAGCCTTCATCCCAGGGATGCAAGGCTGGTTTAATATGTGCAGTTCAATCTATGTCATCTACTAGATCAGAAAAAAAGGAAGACAAAACCCACATTATCACCCCAAAGATGTCAGATGTGACAAAATCTAGCATGCATTTATGAGAAAAAAATCTTGAAAAGTAGAAATCAATGGAACCTATCTAAGTATTATAAAAGCTGTATATCACAAGTCCACAGACAACATCATATTCAATGGTGAAAAGGTGAAAACTTCCCTGGTATGATCAAGAACAAGACACGGATATCTATGAACATCACTAACATGCAATATAGTTATGGAAGTATTATCTGAATCAATTATGCAAGAAAAAGACATGACAATAAATTAAATTGAAAATGAAGTGAAGTGTCATTATTCACTGATGATGTGTTAATTATAGAGAAATCAAAACATTTTACAAAGACATCTAAGAATGATAAATGACTATGGTAAGCTAGCAGGATACAAAATCAATACATAAAAATCAGTGGCATTTTTTTCCATATGAAAAAATGTATCAGAATAAAGGGAAATAAGGAATATAGTTCAATCCATAAAGAAGGGAATATCTGGGAATTTCCTCACTGAAGGAAGTGAAGGAACTCTAATTTGAAAACTATAAAACTGCTGAAAAATATAATAATATACAAGGAATGTGAAAATAGCCCATGCTCCTGAGTAGGAATTATTAACATAATTAAAGTGGTCATACTAACTAAAGCAATTTAAAGATTTATTGCAAAATGTATCAAAGCACCAAGGACTTTTTAAAGGAAATTTAAACATTATCAAATGTATATGGAACTTCAAAAGGCACAAAAGAGCTAAAACAATCTCAAGAGAAAAGAAAAATTGAGATATCAAACTTACTAACTTCAAACTAAGTTACACAGTAACAGTAATCAGAAAAATATGATTATGGAACAAAAACAGAAAATAAATCCAATGGAACAGAATTGGGAACCGAGAGATTAAATCCATATAAATATGCAAAGTTAATCTTTGACAAAGAAGCTATAGCCATACAATGAAGAAAATATAGTCTTTATAGTAAATGGTGCTGGGAAAACATGGGTAGCCACTTGTGAAAACATAAAGAAGGATTTACATTTGATTTTGCACAATAATGAATTTAAAATCAGTTAAAGATTTAAACGTAAGAAGCCAAAACATTAAGTACTCGAAAGAAAATATAAGAGACACACTATAGGACATCTATCACAAAGATGTATTTGGGAGTAAAACTCCAACAGCAAAGGGAACAAAACTAAAAAACAAATGGGACTACATCAAACTTAAAAGCTTTTGCCCCCCAAATAAACCATCACAAAAAACAAAAAAACAAAAGACAAACTAAGCATGGGGAAATTTTTTGTGTATACCTTACATTTGACAAAGGCTTAATTCCCCAAATTTGCAAAGTTCACAAGTCAATGACAAAGAAACAAGCAATCCAATTAAAAAATGAAAAGTGATCTCAATAGACACTTCTCTGAAGAAAATATTTAGATGGCTTATAGATAAATGATTTTTCAACATCACTTCTTATAAGAGAAATACAAATTAAAGCCCACTTTGAGATACCAACTCACCCCTATAAGAATGACCCATATAAAGAAGAATGAAATTAACAAATATCAGCGAGATTGTGATGAAAAAGGTACTATCACCCACTGTTGGTGGGAATCCAAGCTGCTACAGCTCCTGTGAAAAACAATAGTCTTAAAAATTTTTGAGCAAATAAAAGTGGAAATTCCATACGGCCCAGCAAATACCTCTATAAGGTATTTAGGTATTTATTCAAATAAATGAAAATTCTAATATTAAAAGATTTATCTATATCTGTGTACACAACAGGATTGTTCACAATTGCCAAATCATGGAGTCAAAACAAGTGCCCTTCATAAGATGAATGGCTAGAGAAATCATGAAATATCTACTTGATGGAATATTACACAGCTACAAAGAAAGATGGAGGCATTAAGGATAAATGATGGACTTCAAGGTAATTATGTTGAAGAAAATCAGTCAAAATGTGAAAGATAGCAAGTGGTTTCACTCTGCAGAATAATAAAATTCTGCAGAATATTATCATATATATAAATAATAGAAGGACTAATACTTGAACTCTGCAAACAGAGTTAATTGTGCTTATCAGGGGGTTTGGAAGAGGGAGGCAGATGGACTTTGGACATGGATTGTTTAATAGAGTCAAAACAACAACAACCAAAACAAAAAACAAAAACAAAAAAGACAATGTTTATTTAATTATTTTCATTTAATTATTTTCAAGTAACTTACAAATTTTGGTTTGAAATGTTTCATTCTTTGACTCATTCTCTAAACTCTAGATTTCTATTCTTAGTCCTAGATGTTATTTTTTTCAGTTCCTGCCCATTCTAATCTGGAAACTGAGAGCACAAAAGGACTTATACTGTATCTCAAAATAGACTTGTAGGGTTCCATTAGATTCTATGTTGCATCCAAGATCCTGCTTCTTGCTCAACTGCTTTTTCATGATGTCAACTGTCACCACAGATGATGCCAAAAGCTAAGTTCCAAGAAAGACTCTTAAAATACATGATCTAGCATTAGCTAAAGTAAATTAACTTATATAATGCTGAAAGCAGTAACTACAAAATTAGTGACTTTGACATACCTATGATTGATTTGTCCAAATTGTCCCATTCTGCATAGTTATCTCCAAGCCAGTGTCCTGCCCACCGCCCTGCAGTTGGATATGTGGAACGAGAAACAACAATTCCCCTTTTGCCAGTTGTCTTCTGCAATGCACTAAAATAAATGGGGAAGGATCTATTCAGTTTTTATATTAGATATTTCTACTTATGATCACTTCATTATTTGATTGAAGATGCCGGTTTTATCTTTTAGTAAATCTAGCTCTTATATAAAAGATTCACTCTATTATAGTATAAAATTCTCCCTTCGAATAATTACCAGTACTTTGCTAAGTGGCCTTTATATATGGTCAATTAATCTAAGTTAAGTCAACTATTAACATGATCAAATTGACTACTCATTTTGTAGGCTTTTTAATGAACTAATTTTATTATATATAAATGTGTTATTTTTCACCTAAATTATGTGTTTATTTTATGGAGGCAACATTGGTTTACATTATTGTTTGTTTTAGAGGTATGTATTTTTTGTAATAAAAGTCTAGGTCCTAATTACTGATTTGTTCCAAACCTTCTCAATTATGACTTGCCCAAACCTGATCTCCATACTACTCATCAAAGAATCTTGCTATAATATTCCCTATTTTAAACATGGAAGAGATGGTCACATTCTTGGAATTATGTAACATATGAGACTAAGTAGGAAAGAAACAGAAAACTTAAACAGATGGTCACAAGCAAGGCAACTGAATATAGTATTAAGACTTCCATTTCTTTCTAATTTTAATTAAAATGTCTTTAATTCTATCATTTGATTATATGAGGTGTAATTTATTTTTAGTGTTCCTTTAGCTTTGTCAAGGTTGTTAAGTATAAATGACAATGTTTTAATTTTTAAAATTTTTGAAGGAGTGGTTAACTTTTTTCTCATATAACTGAAAAAAAAAATTGCTGCAAAAGCACCTATAACATGTGAAAAGTCTATGACTGAAAATTGGGCTAATTTAACTCAAAATTTGAAATTTATTAAGTTGCTTAATTTAAATACCAAATGTGATTAAAAATTTTACAAAAAAATAGTACAGGAACAAAGCTAACAGTTCATTTAAATATATTTCACAATATTAAAAGACATTCTTTATAAGATTATACTGATATCTTTCCCATAACATTTTTAAGATGTAAAACAGCCTCAGACATGTTTAAACACATTCATAAATCAACAATTTACAAATGTACCCTTACCTTCCTTGAACTTACATATACATTTTTTATAATTTTGTTGGGGTAACTAAGTCTTTTAAATTTGCTAAGCCCCTACAATGTGTCAGAAACAATACTGTATCTTGAAATGTGGTCCAAAAATTTAATTGATGACTCTCTATGAAGAAAATACTTTCAATTTCTCTTGAACTGTGTACTTTCATCTTAACATACATAACTGGTTCATATTTAAATTCTCATGGTTTGTTTATATACATATATATGATTATACATATTTATACATACTATCTATGGGTATCTATGCATACATATATATGCATTTATACACACATATATACAATTGGTAAAGTGAAGTTAGCTGAGGATAGCTGGAAAATAAAAAGGCATTGTTGAAGAATAGTCTGTTTTTTTTTTCTTAAAAATGACATTTCCTAGACTTCATAAACAAACTTAGTGTCTTTACACTAACATTTGGTGAACAAATCTGTGGCCATTCATTCAAGTAATAATTTCTTAAATATTTGACCTATTCTAAGTTAAAGAATTTAGTGCTAGCGATAAGACAATGAAGAGATATTACCTATACTACTTACTCCAAAGAACATTTTATACTTTATCAACCTCCATCATATAACTGAGCAGCAAATTTCAAACCCAGAATCTCATTAGAACCAACTAGGAAACTTTCTTACATTCATATATTTAGACTTTAAGACAGACCTATTAAATCAGCATTTAAAAAAAAAAAACATTCTTTCTGTGACTACAATGTGTATTTAAGATCCAGTGTTCGGAAGTTACATTACACAGTATGGGGCCCACTTGAAATATGGGGCCAATGGACTTATAATTTCATTCAAACTCATTTATTTTAAGTAAAATTTAAATTTCTTTCCCACCCAAGTAAAACAAGTTACTCAGCAATCATATATGGCTAGTAGCTACCATATTTGATTTATAGAATTATATTTTTTTATTTTTTGAGATTTATTTTGAGATTTTTAGAATTATTAGGGCATTTCATTTATGGTAGAAAGTTATATTGACCAATAAAGAGTTAATTGTCAAAGAATGGCCTGTGTACCATTATTATCAATGTCACATAGAAGTTGCTTGGTATGGACATTCAAATCTGAGGAGCTAAAAATCACTGACACATACCTATTCTCATAATGATTATTTTAAATAACAGATTTAATTAAGCTTTAATGTCTGAATTAATAATTTCATATTATATAAATTATTTTCTCATTTATGAATTCAAAAGTGAACACTGAGCATCTATCATTTTTAGGCACTGTGTTCCTATGAGCCGTGTACACAGTGGGGAATAAAAAACGTTCAGGATTATTTTTTGAATGATATACAAATTTTTAAATGTTACAGATTGTGAAAGGGAAACAAATTGTAATTACAGTGAAGGATAAGTCAATTACAGATAACATTGATAAGAAAAGTGCTACCAGATAGGAACAAATTAGCAAGAAAGAATTTTAAAGTAAGTATCATTGTTTCTATATCTTAAAGGATCATGTGATTAGATAAGCTAATAATGAAAGTGATCATTGCTTACTCATAAGTAGGTTTTGCTTGTGACCACCCATATAGATTGTGAACATCATAATGTGAAACTGATGATCCATCACTTAGAATATGCTCAGTTTCCATACACAAAGTTCTGAAATGCAATCCTTCAGTTCTTTTTGTGAGTGCTAGGAAAATCAATGAAAAAAGATAATAAATTATGTTACATCAAAATATGCAAAAATGGCTATATATTATTTTGACAAAACATATAATTTTTTATTTTTTATTGAATTTTAACCTTTGGTACAGTGTCTATGCTAATTACAAATGAAAAAAAGATGGTCTTCACATAAAACAGATGTTATTTATATAAGTGTGACTGAAAAATGTGTGAAAAGTTTTGCACTATTCAGTATAAAATATTATGAATTAACATTAATCAATAAAAATCTAAAAATAAGTGTACTCCTGAAAATCTATCATTTAGTACACTTAAGTTGATACATAATGATTAAATCTATTTTATTTTTTAAAAATCCATTTTTAATATGAAGTCCTGAAGTTAATAGCATGAAAAATGCTTTAACAGCATTTGATTGGCTTTTCCACAATTTGACATGCTATTTCCAGAGCTTTGCCATTACTTTCAGATGCTAGCATTTTATGAAGTTTACTGCCTACATAAAAGCATGAGGATGAATGCTGGAAAGCTCTTATTTTCTTCTTAGATCAGAGACAGCAGAATAATGTTAATATTCTTTCCTTTTTTTCCAAGTATAACAAGAATTAAAACAATTTTAAGATTTTTTTTAATCTTAAAGATATTGATCCAATATATGAAACTAAGATATCTCTATTTCTTTGTGTCTTATTTTATTTTTTTTGACAATGAGTTGTAGTTTTCAACATACAGGTGCTATACATTGTATAATGCTGGTGAGGATGTGGAGGAAATGAACACTCATTTTCTCTGGTAACACTATAAATTGGTACAGTTTATATAAAAAATGTTATGGAGATTCCCTGAAAAAAAAAATCTGAAAAGTGGGAAATATTGTGATCCAGCAATCCACAACGAGGTATTTACCCAAAGAATATGAAAACAATAATGTCTGGAGCCGTCCGGAGCATGCACCGAGTTGCACATGCATGCAATGAGTTAAGTTTCGCTTTACTGTTTCGCAATCTGAGAAACCACTGTGTTTTCCTGTAAATCACGTGAGACTGGGAGGTATGATGGGAGGAGCTACCAGGGTATAAGAAGAGAACCATGAGATAGTAGAGAGGATACTGCGAGAGGATACTGCAAGAGGAGCAGAGAGAAGACCAGGGAAGAAAGAGAAGGAAAAGGAAAAATAAAGAAGCAACCGCTAGCGTCAAGTTGTCTCAAGCCCCTCATTTCAATCCTCAGCCCTTCTATTTTCATGCCTACGAATCTTGCGGGTCGAGACACAATAATATGAAAATATTTATGCACTCCTATATCCATGGCAACATTATTTATAATAGTTATATCATGGAATCAAACTAAATACCCATCAACAGATGAGAGCATAAATAAATTATAAAATATACTGCATGTAGTACTACTCAGCAATTTAAAGATAAAATAGTGTCTTTTGGAAGAAACTCAGTATATTTTGAGGTGATTATGCTAATTAATTAAGTCAGAAAGTGAAATAAAATAACTAGATAATTTTGTTCATTTATCAAATAGAAATAACCAAAGAGGGCAAACTGGAAAAACACAACCAAAAATATCTCTTAAACTTTGTGAAAGAGATTGTTGCTACCAAAACAAATGGGGAAAAAGAGGAGGGTAATGTAGGATTATTGTAGTAGCTCTGAATAAATTAAACATTTGCACATATTAAGGTGTGAGGTACTACCTCCAAAATTATACAGTTGCAAAGTTGAATGGAAAATCAATAACATTTGATTAAAAATGAATATTGACAATGTTTAAATCTGAATTTTTTTATTGTTCTCTCTTTTTTTTTTTGAGGTAACACTGCTTTTCAATACTATATTTTAGATAGAATAGGTCACACCTTCTCAGATACATGTCATTATACCAGACACAGCAGCAGTCAACCTGAGTCCTCCAAAACAACAATTTCAAGCAAATTAGAAATGAGTTCATATAGAAAAAAACATACTTCCTAATTTTCTTCTCAAAATAGTCTTAAATAATAATGGTAATAGGTCAAACTGTGGTCCAGAATGTAGATGGACAGTGATAATTGGAATTATGAATCCTGTCCCCTAAATCTGATGGCATTAATATCAAATATACGGTAGCAATATTGCACCTGGGATATAAGGAGGATAATTTAGCTCTTCTCTCCTGCATTGATTAGTAACTGATCCATGTACAAAACTTGATGGCTCATTCATATCCTAAAAACAAAAACAAACAAACAAACAAACAAAAAAAAAAATGTTTTTTTCAAAAGAACTAATTCAGAGAATCAGTTAATTAAAACAACATATTTGAATACTTACCTATTCATTATTCTAAAGAGGAAAAGTATAAGGCATTTCAATAATACTAAAGAGTTTAACTCACTCGCCCACTGCTCCCCTCAGCAGTGTATTTCAGTGGATCTGCCTGTTCTGTTCCCCACTATGTCTCTGGTGAATCCTCTCACCACCCTCACACTTCCAGCCTGTACCCCAGTTCTTGTATGCATAAATAATTAAAAAAAAAAAGAAAAATAGAGCTTATCTCAGTGCTCTTAATTTTTTTTCAAAGATTTTATTTATTTATTTGTTTGTTTGTTTGTTTGTTTGTTTGTTTGTTTGTTTGTTTATACAAGAACCAGGGTACAGGCCAGATGCACAGGAAGGTGAGAGGATTCACCAGAGACAGAGCGGGTAACAGAACAGGCCAACTGAGGAAATACACTGCTGAGGGGAGCAGCGGGCGTGGCAAGAGGGCTCTGCTGTGTCATGTGGGACCCTCGCTGGCTGGCCGGGATTGAACTGGCACTGCAGAGGCTGTGGACAGCTTCACAGCACGGCGTTCAACCACCTGCACCACCAGGTGAGGCCCTGCTCTTAATTTTTAAAAATCCATCCCTCTGAAAAATAGAATGTCTGATTTTTCCTGTTGAGAATATCATATTTTTTTTCAGTTTCCTAAACATAAAATGACATACTAACTATCTTTTCCCATTGTCTTTCCGTCTACTATTACCACTGACTTTTTATCAATGGGTTTTTTAAAGATTTATTTATTTATGAATACAAGAGCTGAATACAAATTTCAAAGAATATCTCTATTGAGCACATGTCTCAGGATCTCCATAATCATATATAAAGAAACCAGTATCTAGATATATAAATTAGTTTCAATATCAAGGCAAAAAATTATAGTTCATGGGGATAATCTAATAGAATTTTATTATAGCACATGAGATTATACATCAGGTTAACCTGTATTTCCCACTAATTAATGTATCTTTTACACAATTGTTTTATAAAATGTACGCTTTACTGTTCTCCTGAATCATAGTACAGTGCTGTGAACCACATTTATAATTTATACATAACAACCAATTATAAAGTTGACTTCAATTAAATACATGTTAACTGATGCAGAGGTTGAAAAATAAGCAGAGTAATAAACAATCCAAGCATCTAAAGAATTATTATGAAAAAAATCTATTTAAATATTTACTGGGGATAAAGTATTTTTTTTTTACTATTAGATTGTTAAAAATCTTAGTTCCATAAGATTATACCTAAGATTAAGAGATTGAGATAATTTTGTTGAATTTGTTAGGGTGTTTGTTAATATATCAAAGAATGATTGAGATTTATCCAAATATTGAATGAAAATAAATGCCCGCAGGCTATTATGAATTGCTAGAAAAAGAGAGGAGTTTGGTATCTTGGTCATTAAAAATATTCAACTTGAATATTCAGGAAATAACATATATGTACATAATTACTAAAACTGTATGTTAGCAGCCTTTAAAATAAGAAAATTCTGTGGAAAAAAATGAGTGGGCTCATACATTGTATGTTTCCAAAACTGACTTCAGTTTTTTTGTAAAGCAAGTGTCTGATTCAAAGTTGCCCAAGCATTCATACTGAATGAGCTCTAAATAAATAAATAAATAAATAAATAGATAGATAGATAGATAGATAGATAGATAAATAAATAAATAAAAGAGAAACAAAACTAGCTCAAATACATGGCCATTTATACCACTGGATCAGAGCCAGGGCTTAACCTGTCACACTCCCTAGAAGACACTTTTGTTTTAGAGATTCTGGCTGATTTAGTTTTCTGATAAATTGGGATTGAGTTTAGTATTCCCCCTTCCCATTTTCCTTCTTTGCCCCTATTCCCATATTTTAAATTTTCTTTCTTATGGATATTTTCAATTCAACAATAAAAATGTAAGCTCAGAACAGACTAGACCCCCCCTCACCCTTAACCTTGAGAGCTCAAATAAAAGTAGGACCCCAAACTCTTCTCTGTCTCTCCTCTCCTCTCCCTCCCTCTCCTTCTAATTCTCCTTTCCCATGACTTTAAAGTTACCCAGGTATGCTATATAATGTCCCTGTCTTATAAGTACTAGATCACGATATTTTCAGTTTCTTGATGGTTATCACTGAAGGGTATTTTTCCATCATAAGAACCCTAAACCTTAGTGCAGTCTTAATATGGCTGTCTTAATATTGACTTAATAAAAGGGGGAAATAATATGGAAAAGTCACCTGGGCTCAGGTGAATGTTCTTAGGTATTATTATTATTTTTTTAAAGATTTATTTATTTATACAAGCATAGGGCTCAGTCAGAAGCACCGGAGGGTGAGAGAATTCACCAGAGCCAGAGCGGGGAACAAAACAGGCAGACAGATGAAGTACACTGCTGAGGGGAGCAGTGGGCATGGCAGGAGAGGTCTGCGCACCATGTGGGACCCTCGCGGAGGCCAGGGATGGAACAGGCGCTACAAAGGCTTCATGCAGCTTCACAGCCCAGCGCTCAACCACTGCACCACTAGGGTAGGCCCTTGTTCTCAGGTATTATTAACGCTAATGTTATTACTAGAGTCTACTAAAATTTGTGTTATCACTACTCAACAAATAACTTAAAATATGAATTGTCCATAGTGTACTTACAATCCACAAACCATCAAACTTAATCTGTTTATTGTAGAAATCTGCAATTTCATTTGCCCACCATTCTGCTGTAGAATTCTTAAAGAAATCTGGAAATGCTACATGAGCTCTTGAAGCCTGTTAAAACAAAACCCATTGCCACATGTAGAAAGTCATAACAGTGACTCTATATGCCTAAGTCAGACATTTATAGAACACAAGTTGTACACGAGTGATAGATTTCCTCCAAACACCTTACAGTGTTGAGGAGGAAAAGGATCGTGAAAAATCTATGAGGAGAGAAGAGAAAAACCTGAGAGTCTTAGGTGAATTCTAAATATTCAGTTCAAACCACACATATACATATCTGGGGGGCTTTTCAGATTGAAAGGATATGTTTTTATTATCCATATCTTTAGAGTCCTGGAGGTTTGGGATCTTGTTGGGAAGGCATTCCTTTGTTTTTCTAGTGAACAACAAAAATATTTTATCAAGGTTTCTGCCCTTCCAGAACCAATAAATCCTTCACCACCATGACTATTTCTTTTTTCTCTTTTACATCAGCAAAAAAGTGATTTAATCCTTCCTTACTAAAAATAGCCCCACTTGCCAGTCTACAGGATAAATTCCAAGGTAGGAGTTTATGTGGTAGAAGAAGATTGACCTTCAACTGTTATAGTGTCAACTGAATAACTAACAATCACAGTTTAAACATATATAGTAAAAGTTCAAGCAGACTTCTAAATAGACGGGATATGGAGGGACATTTTACACAGAGAAATACAGAGTAGAGAAGGATTTACAATACTCATGCATCATGGATAATTTTAGATTGAAAGGGAATTAAAATTATTGTTTTTCCCAAAATTGTATTAAACCCACTTGAATAATTATCTATGTAGTTATATTAAGGAATATTTTCTATGCCAGGAATTGTCCTAGATCAATTATATACAATTATACACAACAAACTGGATAACTTAGATGATATGGTTAGATTCCTGGAAACATAAAACATAGTAAGAATAAATCATGAAGAATTAGAAAATCTGAATGGGCTGATTATTTCTATGATTAGATCACTAATCAAAACCTCACAAGAAAGAAAAAATTCAGGACCTAATGGTTTTGTTGATGATTGATATGAAACTTTTATGGGAGGATTCATATGAATCTTTCTGAAAATCATCCCCCCAAAAAAAACTGAAAAGGAGAGATTATTTCCAAATTCACTTTGAGAGACTAGCATTGCCTGATACCAAAACCAAAGGCAGCAAAAGGAAAAAAAAAAAAAAAAAAAAACATAAAAATGTATTGTTTATGGATGTAAATGGAAACATTCTTAGCAAAAATTACCAGCAAACAATATTCGACAGTACATTAAATGCACCATGCAACTTAGCTGCATTTTTTTCCGTGATGCAAGAATTGTTCAATGTAAGAAAATCAATGTGATGTGTCATATAATCAGTTTGAAATATAAAAATTGCATTATAACTTCAACAGATGCAGAGAAATCATATACAAAATTCAAAACTTTCTTGATAAAAATTCTCAGCAATCTAGGAGTAGCTAGAATTGTCTCAAAAATAAAATAAAGACCATATATTAAAAGTCAATAGTTAATGTTACAGTTAATCAGGAGCAAGGTGAGGATGCTCATACTTGCCACTTGTTTTCATCAGTTTATTGGCAGTCGTAGCAGAACAATCTGGCGTACAAAGAAAAATAATCCATATAAAAGTGAAATAAAAATATCCCTATTTGCAGATAATATCTTATGTGTAGAAAACCCTAAGAAATCTACAAAAAAAAAACAAGAACTTCATATTAGAACTAATAAATCTAGTAAAGTGGGAGGCAAAAAATCAACACATTAAAATGAATTCCATGTGTAGATACTAACAATGAACTATATGAAAGAGAAATGAGGAAAATAATCCCATTCAATAAACTTAAATAGTTAAAGGTTTATACACTGAAATGACAAAATATGTTAAATGATAGTTTAGAAGAAATGCACTAATAGAATCTCATGTCTATGAATTAGAAATTATGACATTGTTAAAATGTCCATACTACCCTAACCAGCTATAGACTCAAAATAGTAACTATTAATGCCAACTTTATAAAAATAGAAGAAAAATCCTGAAATTCATTTTGAACAGAGTTCCTGAATAACAAAAATAATCTTAGAAAAAAAGAATAAAACTGGAGGCATCACATTTCCTGATTTCAAAACATATCCCAAAACTATAATTAAAACAGTGTTAATACTGTACAAAAATAGACATACAGATCAATGGTGCAGAATAAAGAGCCTGGAAATTATTCTATACATGTATAGTCAATTGCTGTTTGATAAGAACACCAAGAACATAAAATGGGGAAAAATAATCTCTTCCACAAATGGTGTTGAAAAAAAATATGATAACCAACACTTAAGAATAAAATTGGACTTTCATTGTACATCACATATAAATATTAACATGAAATTGTAAGACTTAAATGTCACACATGAAGCTACAAAAGTTAGAAGGAACTATAGGAGAAAATCATCATGGCATTTCTCTTGGCAATGATTTATTGGATATCTCCCAAAAAACATAGGCCAAAAAAAACTAAAAAACAGACAAGTGAGATCATAGCAAATTAAAAGTTTCTGCACAGCAAAGAAAACAGTCAACAGAGTGAAAAATCAGTCTATGGAACTGAACAATATATGTGTGCACTAGATAAATGGTTAATTACCAAATGATATAAGTATTCTACAACTGGATAGAAGAAAAAAAAAAGATCTGTAACTGACTTTAAAAATGTGTAAACATTTGAATGGCCTTTTCTTAAAAGAATGCATACGAATGGTAAACAGGTACATGAAAAGGTGCTCAAGTTCACTTATAATCAAGAAAATGCAAAATAAAAAAAAAAAACTAAGAAAACATTTTGATAGAATGGTTATTTTCAGAAAACAGAAGATAAATGTTGGTGAGGAAATGGAATAATTGGAATCCTTGCACAGTTTGCAAAACAGTGTGGCCATTAAAGATAACATTATGCAGATTCCTCAAATAATTAAAAATGAAACTACAATGTGCTCCACTAATCCCATTTGGACATTTATCCAAAAGACATAAAATTGAGATCTCAATAAAACACTTGAATTACATCATTTATTGTAATAGTCTCAAGAATGAACATTCAAAATAACCTAAATGGTCATTGATGGATGGATTGATAAAGAAATTGTGCTGAACAAGTATGATGAAATAATATTCAGTCTTATGAGAGGAGAAAATCCTGTAATATGCAGCAACATGATTAAAGCTTGAGGGCATTCGATGAATTAAATAAGCCAGTCACAGAGGAAAAAATAAAAATATTATTACGCGCATCTGAGGTATGTAAAAGAGTCAAATTTAAATGAGTAGAAATTAGGAAGGTGCCTGCCAGGGACTGAAGTCTGGGGCTATTAGGGAGTTACAATTCTATAGGTATAAAGTTACAACTACATAAAATAAATAAATTCTAGTGACCTGGGCAACCTTGTTCTGAGTGTCAAGGAAGTTGTGTTGCAAACTTAAAAATTTAAGACAGCAAATGTCATGCTATTTATTCTTACCACAATAAAGTAAAATTTAAAAAGTGTTTTTATTAAACATAATTTATTGAAAAATTACTTCATAGTGTGACACAAGTTGTTATTTAAGAATAGTTAGACACATTTTACTTAAATCAAAGCAAACAACCAGTCAAAAATGGGTAGAGGAGCTAAAAAGCCACTTCTCCAAAGAAGAAATGCAAATGACTAATAAGTATATTAAAAATGCTCACCATCACTTATAATCAGGAAAAAGCAAATCAAAATAATAATGTGATATCACATCACACAGGTGAGAATGGCCCACATTAAAAAAAAAAAATACTGGCAATTACAAATGCAGGTGAGGATGTGGAGAAAAAGGAAAACTCTACACTGCTGATAGGAATAAAACCAAGTACAGCCACTATAGAAAGCTATATGGAGGATCCTCAAAACAGTAAAAATGGATCTACATAGGATTCAGAGATTCCACTCCTGGGAATATATCCCAAAGACACAAAATAAATATTTTAAAGGAAAAGTTGTAACTCTTAAGGTTATTGCAAGCACTATCTACAAGAGCTAAGATATGGAAACAACCCAAATGCCCCCAAGCAGAGTAATGGATTCAAGAAGTTGTAGTATATAGACAATGGAATACTACTCAGTGATCAAAAAAAGGTACATTTGTGCCATTTGTAGCAACAGGTTTGGAGCTGGAAGGGATTAGGCTAGGCAAAATAAGCCAGAAGGATAAGAAAAATACTGGATGGTCTCACTCATATGGGGAGTGAAATCAAACAAAGGATTAGGAAAAAGACAAAACTTGCAGGCAAACCACATATCTGAACCATACACCTGGGGAGGAGGAGGGAGAGGGTCAAAACAGGGTGGGAAGAACACAAAAGGTCTATGGTGATGGTTTTCAGGTGTTATGGTGGATGGAGATTTAAATGGATTACACCCGAGGGCAGAAATCAACTACTGAAAAAAAAAAATGAACAACAACATAAGAAAATTTAAAAAGATAAATAGATATGATATGGGGAATTAGACAACTACTCATCCACATTTTAAGGAAAATATTCAACTTAAATAATTGATCATCATGATCATAAAATCCAAGTGTGTATTTCTTTTAGATATTTAATCAATATAAAACTTACATTAACAGCTTCATCTTCACTTAGACTTTCATCAATTGTTACATTGGGCAAATCTGGCCAAACCTATAAGAAATAATAAAAGGGAAAGCAGTTCAAAATAAATTTAGTATGTTATCACTGTGCTTAAATAAAATATTATAGAGTTTTGAAGGTATACTGACTCATGATTCCTGGATTAGTAATTCCTTTAGTTCCATTTTTCAGTTTGGTATATATATATATATAATTTTCAAACTATTGCTATTATACATAGTAATCTCCTATTTAAAATATGAATACAAACCTTTCTATAAATAGTGATTTTGAAAGCAATAGCAATAACCAAAATATATGAACAATAAATAATATTAAATTTATTTATTGTATTTATTTAAATGGGATATATTAAATGTGATATATTTTTAGAGCGACTCCAGGATTTAAACATCTATATTTAAAATGTCCAAAAATCTGAGTTAGATGATGTCATGCTAAGTAAGGCAAATAACCTCTTGGTTTCCACAGCTAGGTCTAAAACATTTTCTCCCCTGCTCCCCAACTCTATCCATGCCTCTCTACCAACCAAAGATTCCCTCTAACCAAATGACAAACATTCAGGATGAAGCCCATTTATCATGCTGACATAGTAGAAGAATTGATGCTATTTTATAGAAATCAGAATGCCCCATATAAAAATGTAAATAAACACCAAAGGACTAATTACACACCAAGATTTACTTGTCAATAGTAAAGCTGTAAAGGAACAAAGCAGAGAAAGAAATGACAAAAACATGGAAAGAGACAATCGAAAGAAAAAATGTTTTCTTTTTTTTATTATTATTATTTATTTATTTATTTATACAAGCACTGGGTACAGTCAGAAGCGCGGGAGGGTGAGAGAATTCACCAGAGTCAGAGCTGGGAGCAGAGCAGGCAGAGGGACTGAAGTACACTGCTGAGGGGAGCAGCGGGCGGCAGGAGAGGTCTGTGCCATGTGGGACCCTCCTCCGGTGGCCGGAAAGCAGCTGGGGATCGAACCGAACCGGCGCTGCAGAGGCTGCGGGCAGCCTTGCAGCCCAGAGCTCAACCGCTGCACCACCAGGGGAGGCCCAAGAAAAAATGTTTTCATAGTTAATATGCCATACCCTATACTTTAATTTCGCTTAAAACAATGTATTTCACTATTTTTATGATAGGATTTTTTCTATTTTATGCTGACACTTTCTTGAAGGTAATTTCAGACTTGCAAACGCTGTAAAATTATGTCCATAGTTTTTCTAAACTCTTTTTTCTTTTTATAAAGATTTATTTATTTTTATACAAAAGCTGGGCACAGGCCAGAGGCATGGGAAGGTGAGAGGACTCACCAGAGACAGAGCAGGGAGCAGAACAGGCAGATGGACTGAAATACACTGCTTGGGGGAGAAGGGGGCACAACAGGAGAGGTCTGCGACACCATGTAGGATTCTCACCCGCCAGCCGGGATCCAACCCGCACTACAGAGGCTGCGGACAGCTTAATAGTGTGGCGCTTAACCCGCTACGCCACCAGGGAGGGCCCCTTTTTTTTAATATATATATTTATTATTAAAAAATATTTATTTATTTATTTATTTATGCAAGCACTGGGTAGAGTCAGAAGCACGGGAAGGTCAGAGAATTCACCAGCACCAAAGCGGGGAGCTGAACAGACAACATGACAAAATACACTGCTGAGGGGAGCAGGGGGGCACGGCAGGAGAGGTCTGCACTCCATGTGGGACCCTTGCTGGTGGCCAGGGATGGAACAGGCACTGCAGAAGCTGCAGGAAGATTCACAGCCCAGCGCTCAACCGCTGCACCACCAGGGGAGGCCCGGTTTTTCTAAATTATTTAGGCTCTATATGCATGTCTTCTAATGTTGAAATATTTGTAACCATTGTAAAATTATCAAAACCAACAAATTAGTATGGATGCAATGCCTTTAACTAATTCATAGCCCATGTTTGAATTGTATAATTTCAATCGTCAATGTCATTTTTCTGTCCATGATACAAAAAGGATGCAACACTGCATTTAATTATATCTCCCAATATGTGCTGCTGCTATTGTTTTTATTCCAGTTGTGACTATTTGATATTATTTCTGAATATTTATATGTAAGCAAAATCAGGATATTTTGTATGCCCAGGTATGATTAATATTGTTTAAATGAAATACAGAGAATTATATTACATGTTCAGGTAAAAATGTAAGAATAACTCTAAAAACAGCATTATATTAATGAAATGTTTTTATTTTATTTTTTAAATTATTTTATTTTATATAATTCTTACATCATTTTTTCATTTTTGCACAATGTATGCATTTTCATTTTGGTTATATTCCCCATACAATTGCAACCCCCCTTATTATGACCCTAGTCCTTCCTCTCTCCTTCCCTCCACCCACCCCATAGTGTGTCTCTGGTTTATAATTGCTTGTTGATTTTAATTTTTACTTTGTATTAATTAGTCTTTTTCCTGGTCCCTTATTTAGGTTTTCTATATTCCTGCTATAAGTGAGACCATCCGGGTATTTTTCTTTTTCTTTCTGACTTATTTTGCTGAGCATGATCCCTTCTAGCTCCATCCATGTTGCTGCAAACTGCCAGCTTCCATATGATCCAGCAATTCCACTCCTAGGTATTTACCCAAATGACACAGAAACATTAAGTCCAAAGGGCACCTACATCCCTATGTTTATAGCAACACTATTTTCAATAGCTAAGCTATGGAAACAACCCAAATGCCCAAAAACAGATGATTGGATCAAGAAGATGTGGTACATATACACAACGGAATATTACTCAGCAATCAAAATGAAATGTTTTTAGAAGTGTATTTAAGCGATGCTTGCAGTATAGAATATTGAGTAGCCATCTTACCGGTGGTATATTGATATTAAAAGGTAAGTGCTTGATTTTGATTTCCACTTTATTATAATCAGTCTTTTTCCTGGTCCCTTATTTAGGTTTTGTAAATTCCTGCTATGAGTGAGACCATCTGGTATATTTTTTTTCTGTCTTATTTTAACATACTACGGTGGCGGGGGAGGAATTAGGATCAAAACAAGGGGTTATGGGAATTGTTTGGGCACTATAACCAAGATGAAAATGCATACATTGTGCAAAATGAAAAAAAGATGTAAAAAATACATAAAATTAAAAAATAATAAAGCAATTAAAAAACATAGGAGGTTCCAATAAATACAATAAAAAACCATTTAAAAATAAAACAAACTATTTGAACATATGACTTGTACATAATATTTTTGTGTTTTCCATAATTTGGATTAAACTTGGAGAGTACATATTTTATTTAATAGCTTAGAATCATAACATTTCTTTATAGTAAACCTCTCCCTCTTATTGTGTTTTAACAGCTTTAAGTTAATGGGAAATTTCAATAAAATAGATTTTTTGACTTATTTTATTTCAAGATATAAACTTAGTACCTTTCCCCAACAAATATCACTATTAGGCCATTTGACAAAGACATCTTTCTCCAGTCCTTTTTCAAATGCAGAATAACTCTCTGTTTCATTTCCTGAAATTGCTGGATCCTGAAAGTAAAAGGAAATCCAAACTTGGTAACTATGGAATGAAAGTATAGTTACATTGGTCTTTGTTACAAAACATAATATATTTTTATTATTGCATTAGCATTAAATTATGTCCTCATATGGGTTGACAAATGGACTTTTAATATCAATCAGTGTTCTGGCTATACTGATCTCCAAATTCCTTAAAGAAAATTTAAAGAAGTTTTGAAAATGTGTCAGTTATGATTTCAAGCAAGATTAGTTTGTTTGTTTGTTTGTTTTTATTTATCCTGTGGGATTTCTGACTATCTAGTTTGCTTCCTATAAGATAAGGTTAAAATATTTTCCCATGCAGTCACTAACATGAAGACAATTTCTTAAACATGACAAGCACAGGAAGCAATGCTAGAAATTGATTTGAGAATGGTAGAGGAATAAAAATCTATCATTACTTTGTGATAGTTTCTGTAAATTGAGATCAGTTTGCAGCTAGGTTGATTACTAGCTCACCTTTGATCCCAGTTCTATACTTAGTTCTATAAGGATATACATAAGTATAAAATTACACTGGTGGCAGTCCACATAAAGTGAATTAATAAAGAAAGTTTAGATTTGGTTGTAGAATTCAAAATTATATATTGATTATTTTGAAATACTTTCTTCCCATTATTCTAAGAAAGAAAACGCAATAAAATCAAGACAATAAGGCCCAGATAAAATATAAAATATAAACACCAACCAGGATAATAATGTATTTCATTCCTTCATTTCTTATTTTGTCAACAAACTGAGGAAGGTCATGGAAACTTTCACCAATTGTAAAGTCTAGTTGCCTTTCCATGTGATCAATATCTGTGTATTGAACATCCTGAAAGATGACAATTATACTGAAGTAAGTATAGTGAAGTAAGCAGCAAAAGTAACCGCATCACATCCTATCACACTTATAAACTCATCACAAAATGAACATTTTAATGTATTTCCTTTGATCTAAAGAGAATTAAATATTATAATGTTCAATCAATGAAAGTATTAAGAAAAAAGTATAAAATATTCCAAGAGGAAATTCATAAAAAATTTGATTTGTTAATAATGGAATTCAGGTTTAGTAGTAACAATGCTTCAAAATCAGCTTTTAAAAGGCAATTCTGAAAGAAACTGGGATACACAGAAGGAAATGATATATGGCATTTGGAAATATGTTAAATGGCAATTTGGAATTTTGAGCAGTATACACAAACATTAGTATTACTCTCTCTTTAAGAACAATAAAGCAGAGATGTCGTAATTTCAAATAATTCTTCTGACAAAGAGGGAAAAGTATTACTAACAAATTCATCAATTATTGTAAGATTCTTCATACATTGTCCAGCAAAGTCAATTATTTTAGAATAATACTTAAGCTTATGTAAGCAAGATATTGTTTAATAGATAATTATATACAAATATACTTGAAGGGATAGATGTTGAAATTTATCATGAAATCTGTTATTTAGGCCTAAATAACAAATTTGTTGTTTTCTGTTAACAGATATAAGCTAAAACTATTATTCAAAGATATTATGCAAATATATACCTTATATATTGCATACAATAATGTAAAACTCCCATTTCATAAACGTTCACTTCCATATTCCTGTTATCATCAATATATACAATTATGTTTCTCATAATAATGCATTCAGAATCCATACATTGGTTCCTTCAGTATGTGCTAATGTCTTATAAAGTGGTCCTAATTCTTAGAAAGAGTTCTTACCCACCAAAATTTTTGAAAATCAGTGCTAATGACCAGAAGTATCCCCGAGACTCCTTAACTTTGTTAAAAAATAAAATTTCAAGAAAAGAATTTTTTTTCTGAATGCTCAGGAATATTTAATGTTTCATTCATTGAGAACAGAGTATTCTGCAAACCCTGTAAGTGTGCATTCTAACATTAACATTATTCCAGGACAAAAATTTATGTGTTTACTTTAAGTCCTTTTTTCTATAATTTGTCATGGGAAATAGATTTCTGTTTTCTCTTAGTATAATGTAATGAGATGGGTCTGAATGCCTATACAATCCAAATTTTCTGAGAGAGAAGTGTGTGTATATATATATGTGTGTGTGTGTGTGTGTGTGTGTGTGTGTGTATGTATGTATGTATAGTGACTTGTTTAGTAAAACTCAGGCTCATGGAATGGAAGAGAAAAAAAGAAAATAAATGATAGTCCTTTTCCTTCATCAAGCTAGAAAGACACTAGGTAAAAGTCTTATATACATGTTATTAGTTCCTATTTAAAAATCTAAGCATTGATTATTACCAAATACTTACTTTTAATGCATGTATGGTTAACTATTAAAATTTGCCCTATAGGTGCCATATTTAACATTGTCTTAAAAATTGATATACATACATAAGGGATCTGAGCAGCCACCATTTCATCATATAGTTGCTGAATCTCTGAAGTATTTCTGTACCCATAACGGCATAATTGGAATCCCAAAGCCCAATATGGTGGCATTACCGGTGGGCCAATTACCTTTAGAAATAAAATAATTGTAATTTGTACAGTAAAATCATTATATTATAAAAATATTTTTCTTATTTTTTTGAAATGTGGAATCATACTTCATGATATTGTTTTGTTACAACTTCTGGAGTTGGGCCCAAAAACATATAAAAGTCCAAGATTCCTCCAATTGTTCGGTAAGTTAGAGCGGGAGTTGGCTGAAATGTAACATCTGGGAATTCAAAATATAAATACATGTTTATTTCTGCACAAAATAATAATTTACAAAAAAGTGCCATAAAATATGAGAAATTGCACAAATGATTGTTTTACCCATTGCATTGCTGTTTAGTAAGAAAACTCCGTGAGCATGGCTGTCATCTTCCAAAGACATGTAATAGGGATGAAATCCGTAGGAATTAAATTTATACTAAAATTAAAAACAAATAATAAAGAATATATATTTGAATAAAAATGACACCTCAAATTATCAATGTGATATTTAAATTCATAGACTTGAACCTGGGAATATAAATGTTCCTCCTTTGCACACATGAAATACACTTGAATTTAAACATGTTTCTCTTAGAAATAAATTTCATTTGTTTGAATTGTTACTCCTCTAGGATATGCAGAAGAATATACCAGTGTGTAATACACAAATACTTCCACATTAACTGTTGCCAAAAAAAAAAAAATCTCATATATTGTTATTAGAGTAGTTGTATTTCTTTATATTAGTATTTATTTATAAATTTGTACTTTTTTAAATAAAATCCCTAGAAATAATGAAATCCAAAATTGTTAAGTGTGTAATATATCTTAAATTCATGTAATTTACACGTTAAACGGTAATTTCTTAAGGATTTAATAGTTTAGATGTGTAAAATATTTCATTTCATTTTCAGCTAGATCTGTTTATTTTTTAAAAGAGAAAACCTAAATTTATGTTCATGAAGCCATTTGCCAAAGCCCAAATCCTAGGAAGTCATGATTTCTATTCAAATTGACTTTTTTTATCCACACTAAGCCCAGTAATTGAAATGTCACATATTGAGAAATTTATATTTACTCAACAATTCAAATGTTAATGTTGAAAGTTTTTACAGAAGTTTTGGGAAAACATTATTTTAAGTGATTATAAATGAAAATCAGTCCTCAAAAACTGCACTTAACTTTTGTGACACAAGTAAAAATTTTTTGAATACCTAACAAATGTTATATATATATATACAAAGGGTACTATTCAGCTATAGTACTATAAAAGGAACTATTGTTATGTGACAACATGGATGGAACTGGGATCATGCTAAATGAAAGAAGACAGACAGAGAAAGATAAATACTGGATGGTTTCATTCAATGTAATACAGGAGAATCAAAATAAAGGACCAAACAAAACAAACTGGAAATGAACCCTATATATCAGACTAAAGTTGAGGGTACCAGAGAGGGAGAAGGAAAATAGAAAGCAAAGATTAGTTGACCCAACACTAATGATAAAGGACTGATCACAAAAATCTGCAAAGAGCTGATGAGACTCAACAACAACAAAGAAAATAACCCAGTCAAAAAATGGGCAGAAGAGCTAAAAAGAAACTTCTCTGAAGAGGAAATGCAAATGGCCAACAGGCATATGAAAAAATGTTCAACATCACTTGTAATCAGGGAAATGCATATCAAAACTACCATGAGATACCATCTTACACCAGTGAGAATGGCACATATTAAAAAAACTAGCAACAACAAATGTTGGCGAGGTTGTGGAGAAAAAGGAACTCTCCTGCACTGTTGGTGGGAGTGCAAACTGGTCCAACCACTATGGAGAGCTGTGTGGAGATTTCTGGACCTACTAAACATAGGGCTTCCATATGATCCAGCAATTCCACTCCTAGGTATTTACCCAAAGGACACAGAAACATCAATTCCAAAGAGCACCTGCACTCCTATGTTTATAGCAGCACTGTTTACAATAGCTAAGCTTTGGAAACAACCCAAATGCCCAAAAATAGATGACTGGATCAAGAAGATGTGGTACATATATACCATGGAATATTACTCAGCATTCAAAAAAGATAAACACATGCAATTTGCAGCAACATGGATGGCACTGGAAGGGATCATGCTCAGTGAAATAAGCCAAAAAGAAAAAGAAAAATACCGGATGGTCTCACTCATAGCAGGAATCTAGAAAACTTAAATAAGGGACCAGGAAAATGAATAACTATAAGAAAGTGAAAATCAATATTAACAAAAAACTGGGCCTCCCCGTTGGCGCAGCGGTTGAGCGCTGGGTTGCGAAGCTGCCCGCGGCCTCTGCGGCGCCAGTTCGATCCCCGGCTGCTTCCCGGCCACCGGAGGAGGGTCCCACATGGTGCGTAGACCTCTCCTGCCGCCCGCTGCTCCCCTCAGCAGTGTACTTCGGTCTTTCTGCCTGCTCTGTTCCCTGCTCTGGCACTGGTGAATTCTCTCACCCTCCCGTGCTTCTGACTGTACCCAGTGCATGGATAAACAAAACAAACAAACAAACAAACAAATAAAAGAAAGAAAGAAAACATGGCTCTATTAAAAAATAAATAAATAAATATTAACAAAAAACTATGAACCAGAGATACTTTTTGGGTGGTGGGGGGCGGGAGGGGAGGGATTGGGGTCAGAATGGGGGGGTTGCAATTGTATGGGGAATATAAAAATAAAATTTATTATAAAAAAAAAAGAAAGTAGAAAGCAAAGGAGGGGTGATTATGGACTATGGTGGAGAACTATGGGTACCTTTGTGATGATTATGCTGTAGTGATATAAATCTGAAGAACTGTGAACCTACATTCCTAGAACATATGCAGTGTTGTCAACCAATATTACCTCAATTTAAAAATAATGGTTGCAATAGTATACACGTTTGTAGTCCCATATTGAATATATCCTTTAAGTATAATTCTATTGTGAAAAATGGAAATGAGCTAATGTTTTCATCAAAATGTATTTTTGTGTTATGTTTGGAATAATTATATTTAATATAATTTCATGGAATATGTCAATTAATAAAACACTGGGGAAAGTAATATGAGCACATGCAAACATTTTATAAAGATGTAACTTGTGGTATTACCTCATAAAAAGTATAACTATAGCTGTGGATTAAAAAGAATTAAAAAATAGAAAAACATTTCAATGCAAATTTCTGTCAGTTATTTTCTAGAAGTAGCCAGTAAGCATGGATTTGGCAGAAGATACTTTATCTAAATATTCTTTCTATGCAGTTGAGAAGGTTAAAAAGTTAGGTCACAACCTCACTTTTCACTGTCAATGATGCTATCCATTCACTCCTTCATTTTCACTTGTAATTTAACATGATTTTTTCTTTCTATTTTTTTTCTTTGTTGAGAAAGTCACTAGTCTCTTTCTTATCACTTTAGTATTGAAAAACATGCCTACAAAGAGTAGCTTGAATCTTAATCATGGTATTAGTTTCCTCATCCATTAGTCAAATATTGTACCTACACCAGGGGGTTGATCTCTTGTGAACATTCCCCAAGTATGCCAGTTCATATTTCTCTTAAATGCTGTGTGTTCCACTTCCCCAAAACCATATAAATAGCTTGATGGCAGGCGAGTAGATATTTGAATGAACTGGTCATTAAAAGTAAATCCAGGTAAGCATGAATCCCAACTGAAAATAAAAGAAAACAATTGTATTCATTAAACATATTCAAAGTAGTATCACAATAATAGTGGTAATTCTTGCTTGGGTCATATAAAAAATCAGTATTTTTTTCTTCATGGACCTTATTGTACCCAAATACCAAATAGAAATATATAATTATTATGTCATTTTTCTTTTGTCTACATTAAGGAATACGTAAAATAAGCTTCCAATTTTCTCCCTATTAAATGTGCAATTATAATATAAATAGCATAATTACATGTTAATATTTAGATATCCATTGCCTTATAATAAAATTAATATGGTGTTTTATATAATATTTGACCTAAGAGCAAAGTATGTTCTAGAAATGGAAATTCCTCTGGTTTCCTTTCCCCTGAGTTTAGTCACAGTGAATTTTTTCTATGTATAGAATAAAATACATCAGTATTAAAATAAATTAAAATGCATATTTAATATTATAATTGCAAACTCTTCTAAAATTATTGCTCCCATGTTTTCTTCTTTTATTCTGTATTGATGATAAAAAAGTATTCATGAAGAATCCAGAAAAAGCATTTTCCAGAGATTGTATTTTTTCTAGTCATGTGTAAGAACATAACAAAGGAGAAGAAATTAAAATATTATTTACAAGAATATGGGACATTGGAAATTTTTATACTAATAATTTTGGAAAGCTACTTAACCAGAGATAATGCTTCCCAAACAATGATAAATAATGCCTTTACCCCAGTAATTCTTTTTTTTTAAGATTTATTTATTTATTTATACAAGCACTGGGTACAGTCAGAAGCACAGGAGGGTGAGAGAATTCACCAGAGCCAGAGTGGGGAGCAGAACAGGCAGACAGACGAAGTACACTGCTGAGGGGAGCAGCGGGCACGGCAGGAGAGGTCTGCGCACCATGTAGGACCCTTGCCCTGTGGCCGGGGATGGAACAGGCGCTGCAGAGGCTACGGGTAGCTTCACAGCCCAGTGCTCAAGAGCTGTTCCACCTGGGAGGCCCCTGCACCAGTAATTCTTAAAAATTAATTTACCTTCTCATACTTTGGAACAAAATATATTATAGCAACAATACTTCTAAAAGAATACAAACCTACTTTTATTGTTATTTACCTCACTCCTGACCAGCCTGAAAATATGTCTTCTGAAGGACAGATAGCATAAAAAACAAATTATATAAAAATTTACTAAAATAAAGATAATTTTACTAGTTTTCTTTATAACTTGATAATATATCTAGATTTAAGTATTGTAATGTCTTTTACAATAGCAAGCACAGACAAGTATTAACTCTGTCAGCTATCAGAACCAATGAACTCCATTTTCAACACCATTAATAAAATATTTACCTTCAATTTACAATTATTTATTTATGCCAACACTCTCCATGCATTTTAAAAGAGTGTTCGGATTCTCAACTGATTATATGAATGAGTCTAAAATTTGATAATCAAATTAATTACATTCAAAGTATAAAAGAAAGTTAAGTCTAACCATTAATGATAATACCATCGCTTGTTTAATTTATAAAATGTTAAAATATACCAAGTAATTTAATACAAGTGATACTATTTTTTTTAAGTGATACTATTTTTAGAGTGATGATATAGCATAGTGTATATAGCACAATATAGCATACTGGAGGATGTGAAAGTAATCATCTTATTTTTCCATCACAAACTAAAATTAAATTTTCCTTTATATCAAATAATTCAATCACTTACATAACTCTCCCTGTGCTTCTTCGTCGAATCTGAATGCCAAAAGGATTTTCCTTGATTTCAGCATCATAAAGTCTATTCTCATGAGTACTAGTTGGTGTAGTTGGAATGTCTAATGGTACTGGAACTTCATATCTCTTTTTGTGAGGATCATAAATCTATTGTAGAGACATATTAAAAATAGATTTGTTCTTATTGATATCATGTAGACATAACTTCAAATAATTGAAATAATGGTTCAAATAATATTTGAGCTCTTGTTAATATAATTGCTAATTTGTACATTCCATATTGCATTTTATTTTTTAAAATGTTTTATAATTTGTTTTTCCATACAGTAAGAAATATTCAAAGACAAAACATTTAGAACTAGATATTTTTTCTTGTTGATTTAAAAACGCTGTTTAGCATCTCATATGGTTAAACATAGTAGTTGGCCAATAGTTTTTTATCATGTGATCCTTTAATGAATAATGCTAACTTACGCTTATTCATGCTTTTCCTCGGTACATTTCTTGAAGTTAGAATTTTAGTTTACCTTATACTAACTTTGATCAAGTCCTTGATATTTATTGCTAAACCACCATCCAGAATTAGTGTGCAAATTAATATTCTCTAAAGTCTGAACATTAATACCAATTCATGTTAAATTAAGAGCATTTATTTTGAAAATCATCATGTAATTCTTTGCTGATGAAGATGAACATCTTTCTATATGATTGCTCAACATTTAGGTTTCCTATTTTAAAATGTATTTTTAATTGAGATACTATTTGGATACCCTAATGTTTCCATTTATTTTTCTTTGAATGCCTATTTAGCTACTTAGGGATTATTTTTAATGCATTTCTTGATTTATGCAGTTTTTTGCTTTCTAAATTTTATAGTGTTTTTATAGTGCTTTGTATCTTTAGTTAGCCACATAGAAAAATAACATGTAGAGTGACTTTATTCTAGATTATGATTCTTTGGCTATAATCCATGATGCCTCTGTGCTACACTCTTTCAATAGAATTACTTCCAGGTAATTCTTGCTGCAATTCTATCTGTATTTTTTTATCACATTTTTTTTTTAAAGTTTAATCAATGCTATTGTCATATGCTTATTTCTCCATATGAATTTATTGGTAATTTTATTTTCTAAACAAAAATAGTCCATGAGATTCTAGCAAGTTACTTTAAAAGCACCAATTGAAAACAAAACAGTGAAAAGAATGTGGGAGATATGCTATAACTTAATAAGAGATAGTTAAATAAATGAATGTATGTGAAAAGTTCATCCAGCTATATATTTATGATATGAACATTTTTACTATATGTTATTATGGCTCAAGAAATTAGTGAGAAAGAAAATAAAATGAATTTCATTAAAAAAACACTTAGGGCTTTTTCACCACTTATTTAATATCTATCAACACTATTTGATAGTTTTTTAAGATACTAGATTTGTACATATAAATTTTTACATTAAGATTGTGTGTTTGTTTTTTCACATGCATTTGTTAATGGAATTTACCGTTACTTTAGCTCCTAAAGGTAAGTAATTTCTAATAGCTTATTTTATATGTTCTCTTAGAGTTCTTCAGTAAAGAAAAAATAAATTAGTGTCAAAAAAGACTCTATTATTTATTTTGTAAGTCTTATTTCATTGGCCAGGAAACATTAGATCAATTATAAAAAATAACGGAAATAGTCAACAATCTGTTTTTTTTTCTGTTTGATTACTTTAGTGAGACTTCTAATAATGCCCAATTCTATATAACTACCATATGTTTAATTATTTATAAAATTATCTAAAATGGGCACTTAGCTATGGGTTGTACAGAAAAAAAAGAGAAGCACAATGCCATCAAACCCATTAACAGCACAATATTACACTAAAAATCCAGCACCTAATTTATTAAAAATATCTTGAAAAATGATGAATCACACATTAAAATGGTTTATATTAAACATACCTTAAACTGCAGCATATCATTTTTGTGATATTTCACTTCCACACGAAGAGTTGAAATGGGTTCAGAAGGTAGCTTTATTCGAGCATTTCTAGTATTCAATTGAAGCTCAGCTGTCATACCCATTGATGTATAATGGCTTGAACTGACTAAATAAGAGTTGACTTGTGAAGGAAAGTAACATGATGGTACACCATAGTAAGGAGTAGTCTAAAAACACAATATATACTCATTGTCAGAAATTATAAGAATTTTAATATTTAACCTTTTTTTAAAATATTAAGGTACCTTTAATCACACCTTGCATGATTTACAAAGTTTTATGGTATAATACGAAAATTAAATTATCACAACACAAAATATCTATAATGCAATCTGAGATATCAGGTACTAAAAAATGAAACAGTATATTCATACACTGATACTAAATATAGAGCAGTAAAGAAGAAGTATCAAATGTCATAACTTTCAGAAAATATTGAATTACTATTGTTTTACAGCCTTGTTAGTGTATTGACAGTTCAGGATTTCCCCCCTCACATGTAGTCACTGTGGCACTTCTATCACTGAAACATCCATAGTTCCTCACCATAGCCCATTGTGCTATCCTCACCCAAATCTGAAAGCCACAGATCTATGGTCAGGTTTTAAAATTTGGTTTTAACATTTGTCATTCATTGTTTGACTCTAGTTTTCCTATATTCTGCATATAAGTGACATCAGCAGTATTTATCTTTCTTCTGATTTTATTTTGCTTGGCATGATCCCTTTGATCTAACTTAAAAATAGAATGACTTTTTTGTCTTTGTAAATATTAACTGTATTACTCATAAATTTTGATCTCATGGTTGGTCTTATTCTTCATATTGCCTATTTTCTTTTGAGTATAAATTGATTTTACATCACTTTTCGAAAGGACAGTGCTTAAATTTCTGTTCTTTTATTTACAATGAAATTATATCATGCTGGTATTTCATGACTAGTTCTTTTAAAAAAAAAGATTTATTTATTTATACAAGAACTGGGGTACAGGCCAGATGTGCAGGGGGGTGAGAGGATTAACCAGATACAGAGCGGGAACAGAACAGACAAAATACACTGTTGAGGAGAGCAGCAGGTGAGACAGGAGAGGTTTGTCTCACCATGTGAGCATCTCCGCTGTTGGCAGGGATCCAACCCACACTGCAGAGGCTGTGGACAGTTTCACAGCACTGCACTCAACCACCTGCGCCAACCAGGAGGCCCACATGATTAGTTCTTATCCTATTCAATTATATACTGCCCAAGATTTAAAATAAGACTGGCTACAAATGATCAGAACTGACTAGTTTATACAGGGGAAGAACTTTGAATCTGAGAAAATAATGATACACTCTGGCATTCAGGGCTAGTTACCTTATCAGAATCCATACTTTAAAATGTTATTATGTTACTAAATAATTATATTTTTGCTCCTGAAGAGCAATGTGTTCATTTACATTTCCTAGTCTCTTATTTTCTTTTGAGGAAGTTGTAGAGTGACTCTCTTTAAAAGAATAAGATGTAAGTTGATTGAATTAGGGTGTCCTTTTCCTTTCTACCTTCTATACATAAAATCATATATAATGGCAAAAGGAAATATATGCATACCCTAAATCACTATTTTAATGGATTTCTGAAGGATGGCATCTTGTAATTTTCATTTTCTTGACCTAAGACTCTATGAGATGTTAAAATACTAGTATTTCTGGGAAAAGTAAGCTTTCATATTAAATATTAAAATTTACTTGTAATTTACTACCCATCCTTTAGATTAGTTTTTATAATGGAAGAGAGTATGCACTGAATACAATGAAGGATGCATATCAATTTTAATAAAAAGAGGCAACTTAAGGAAAAGTTATTGGAAATATAAAAAAACACTTTGGTATTTAGCTCTTATTTCAGAACATTTTCTCTTTCTCATTTAGTTTGTTCATTTCTTCTGTAAGCTTTCCTAATGATAAAGATTATGTTGCTAAAACAAGCAATGTAAAGAAATGGGGACAATGTCTCTGGATTTAATGATTCCATTTATTTCCCATAGAAATGTAGACATATCTGAGCTGTTGGCTTGAATCTTGATTTTCCTCAGTGGTACAATATATATATGCCATTTTATGTTTATATAACGTAAATTATTTTTCAGACAAAGCCCAGTATGGTACTGCTAAAACAAATCTGTCATCCATACCCTCATCATTCTGTTGAAAAAATGACTAATAACTGGTCACAGATTATTGCATCTTAGTGGAACAAACAAAAGCCATTGATTGATTTTGGAAGTTTCAATAACTTGAGGCAATGTATAAAAGAAACCTTGGCAAAACACTTCACAACATATACTTTAAAAACATATTTCCAGGGTCTCCCTGGTGGCGCAAGGGGGTAAGTCTTAGCATTATGAAGCTATCCACAGCCACTACAGCACAAGTTCGATCACTGGCCAGGAAACAAACCCACAGGGTGCAGCAGACATCTTCTGTCTTGCCCTTGCTTCCCTCAGCAGTATATTTCAGTCAATCCATCTGTTCTGTTCCCTACCTCTTACCCCCTGCACCTCTGGTCTGTACCCCAGTCTTGTATGCATAACTAAATCTTTAAAAATATATATTAGTGGATTAATATCCAGCAGCAAAGAGAATACAAACAAAGAGGACTACATAAGACTAAAAAACATCTACACAAAGAAAGAAACTGCAACCAAATCAAAAAGACACCCCACTGAGTTAGAAAAAAAAATGTGTCCACCATACATTCAACAATGGGATGCTATCAAAGATTTATAAATAACTTATACTCCTCAACATAAAGAAAACAAATAACCCAATTACAATTTTCCAGAAGAACTAGACACTTCGCTAAAATAGAGATAAAATGGCCAAGAGATACATGAAAAAAAAATCCATCAACACTTATCAGAGCAATGCACATCAAAATATACATATATGTAAGTATGTGTATACATATACATGTGGGTATGTGTGTATATATGGAGAATTAAATAGAGTGTAGAAATATATGTGTGTGTATGTACATATAGATAGATAGATACAGATATAGATATAGATATATATAGATATATATATAAAACAAATTGTACTCAGAGATCAAAAAAGATAAAGTGTTGCCACTGAAGGCAAAGTGAATAGAGCTGGAAGGCATTATAAGTGAACTAAGTCAGAAGGAAAAATACAAATACCAGATGAGATGGTGTCACAATGGTATATGAAAAACAAAACAAAGTGTCAGATAAAATCAAACTAAAAGTAACCCTGAAAACTGATAGTAGAATGGGGTCTACTAGACAGGAAAGGAAGGGAGAACAAAGAGAGGGCGCTCAAGTATCTATGATTGGTGGACTATAGGTTCTTTGGTGATGGGTGTGCTATGGTAATAAGGACTGAAGAGAGGACTCCTGCACATCTGTAATAGAAGCAATGTGCAAACCAATATGAAACTAATAAAATATTATTAATAAAATGAAAAAGGCTGCCCCCAATGGCACATTTTGCTTAATTAAACTAGTCAGTCACGGTGAACAACTTTTAGAATGTAACATGCAGCCTAGTATTACATTAAAGGACACTATAACATCCAAAGTGCCTGTAAAGCAACTTATGCTTACATGTATTGAGGCATATACTAAGTTCTGTCTTTGCAGAATTAACTAAGACAAATATGAAATGTCTACCAAAGGCCCTAATTTATAATCCTTAATGTTTCTTTAGATAAACATAATATGTATGTGTGTGTACTGTAGAATCATATATCTATATAATATACATAAATATATCTTATATATTTATATAAATATATTGTATAGATATAGCTATACAATATATATATTATATACTGTAGAATATATATACATACTGTAGAATTAAAATTATATGGAGCTGAAAGGGATCATGCTCAGTGAAATAAGTCAGAAAGAAAAAGAAAAACAGGGGGCCTCCCTGGGGGCACAAGGGGTTAAGATGCAACCTATAAAGCTATCCGCAGTCACTGCAGCATGAGTTTGATCCCCAGCCAGGGAGCATCCCACATGGTGCAGCAGACCTCTCCTGTCTCACCCGCTGCTCCCCTCAGCAGTGTCTTTCATTCAATCTGCCTGTTCTGCTCCCCACTCTGTCTCTGGTGAATCCTCTCCACCCCACACCTCTGGCCTGTACCCCAGTTCTTGTGTGAATAAATGAATAAATCTTTAGAAAAATAAAAATACCAGATGGTCTCACTCATAACAGGAATTTAGAAAACCTAAATAAGGGACCAGGAAAAAGACTAATTATATTAAAGTAAAAATCAAAATCAACAAGCAACTATAAACCAGAGACAAACAATGGGGTGGGGGGAGGGATTAGGGTCAAAATAAGGGGGGTGGGAATTGTATGGGACAATAATCAAGATGAAAATGCATACATTGTGCAAAACTGAAAAAGTGATGTAAAATAAAAAAAATACTTTTTATAAACCAAGGACGTGGACTAATAATTAAAAGGCAGAAAAATGGGGAAAAAAAGAAAAATAAAATTATACTATGTAAACTTTATTTTGAACTGTTTATATGAAAGTGATATGAGTCAGAAATAAATTCTTTTTACCATTTTCCATAAACAACCGCGTTCTTCACACTTTTCTTTAGTTGCAGTGTCTTCATCTGGATAACAATTAAACTTTTCTGTTTCACTGAAAACTTGACTCCATTGAACAGTAAAATTTCCTCCAAGATTGAGCTTGAGGTTGTAAATTATGAGACTCTGAAGATAAAAATGAAAATGTTAAAGAATTTCTGACCATTAGTCAATTAAAAATTTTTTCATGTATATAAAATAGAGCAACAGTTACAATTATTTAAATAATAGTAGGTTTTATACAATAAAGAACAAAGCTTCCTTGATATCCCAGGGGTTAAAGTCTGAGAGCTATCAAGCTATCACCAGCCACTGTCACATGAGTTAGAGCCCCAGTCCAATGCTCCCGTTAGCAGTGTATTTCAGTAGATTCACCTGTTCTGCTTTGCACTGTCTCTGGTGAACCCTCCCTCCTCCTCCACCCCACACTTCTGGTCTACACACCATTTCTTGTATGCATAAATAGATAAAAAATAAATCATTTATACATATATATATAAAATAATGAAAAAATAGAAATAAGTTAACATTTTGTGCCACTGATATGGTTAGAAACTCCATTCCATGTGAAACTGTGTAATAGAGATATAAAACATTATATTTAAATTCAGACATAAGTTCAATTCTCAGTTTAGCCACTTAATGTTCATGAGATGAATGTTGGAGAAAATTGTCTTTCCTATATTATCTTCATTTGCCTGCATTGTAAATGGGAAAAATAACCCCCACCAATATGATGCTACACAGAATGAATAATATATGAAATTTAAAGCATCTAACATAATATCTGGGATATCTAAAAATGTAATAAATGTTAATTTACTCAGGATGAAAAAGTTGACCATTTCCATTGATATTCTGGCTCTCAGAGTTATAAGGGGATATTTATTTCCTTTATCCTTCCCTAAATTTATCAATTTCATACATTATTTGAGCAGATTACAGAGAAGATAATATGACATTATGCAAAATTTTAGGATAGATATAGATATATAATCTGATACACAAGTATTTCTATTGTTGTGATATTACAAATTTATGTTATTATTTATATAGCTTGGGAATAAGATGAACAAGATTTAGCCCATATTTTCACTTGCATAGCTTACTTCTTGATATCAACTAGTCAAGGAAACTAGTCATATAAATATCAGCATTGGTACAGCAGAGTTTATGTCTTTATAAACATTTACATAGCATAAAAATATACATGGATATAAATTGAGATTACAAGAAACAAATGATATGACTTTTGTTTTATGCCTTTTGATTAGTTAAAGTCATATAGTTTTTAATAAGCCCGTATTATTCAATTTATATTGATTAATTCTTATAGTTTGAGGAATAAGCTATAATGTATATGCTAAATTAATAAAACTAACCAATATATATTTATTTTTAAAATGGAAAAATTCTGGATAAGAGCTAATGTATAGACAAAAAATGCTGAGAAATTATTTCATATCTCCAATAATTTAGAATCCACTATACTATATTAATATTACTAAAGAGTTTGTATTGTATGAAGTGTGGAAAATTAAATACAAATAAAAAATAATTTCTATCTTTTAAGTTGCTATAATGTAATATTTTAAAAACATAAATGTATCACCAAAAGCTACATTATGATGGTAAATATATATTTTTATTTTATAGTGAGGAACATAAGCTAGTAATTTAATTATTTAAATTAATTTATATATTTAGTTGTAGATTGCAGGGATGGAAATCAATTCTGATTCTGTCACTTCTTTTCCTTCTCTACTATACCTGTTAGAACAGGCTGAAATTATAAAACAAAGGTTGCTTTTACTATAAGGGGAGATTTTAATTTAAAAAATTGAAGGAAAATAGTACAAGATATATCCTGAGGATAAAGGGAGATCATGAAAAAGAGAGAATGGTTAAAGAAAAGGAGTAATCATTCTCTTAAAGAATCTTAAATTAGAGGTTAAAGCATTTAGAATATTAATTTTATTTTACAGGTAAGTTAGAGATTTCATTAGGAGAATGTGTAAAAAATGTACATATAAATGATATCTAGAATAAAATAAAATATATAATTATAAAATATATGTAATTATGAAATATTTATAATTATTTAAGGATATAATTCTATTATATCATAGATTGATATGACCTATAATGTACTACTAGCAACAAAAAGGAAATAAAATAAATGTATGTCATGGAAGAAAGATTATAAAGCCAAGATCCTGGATAGTAATACAATGTTAAATGTTATCGACTATGACAGTTAAAAAGACGTTATAGTATCATATACCTGGTTGGAAGGATGATAAGTGAAATTGTAGCTGTAACTCATTTGTTGATTATTTCCAGTCACTGTAACATCTGTAACAGTTTCTGCCAACCCAAGGATTTTTATAGTCTCAAATGCTAACTTGGTTCCTTCCTCATATGATGAATGTGTACAGGTAATATATAATTTGTTCTGGGAAAAAAGTACATAAAATTGTATATTAAATAGAAGTTCACTAGATACAAATCTGTAATAACAATACAGGTGTGAAACAGGAAAAGAACCAATCATCTTTGACACCATTCCTATCAGCACCAGCAATCTACATCCAAGTAAAATTTATATCTATATATAAGATGTGTGTATATGTATTATAAGTAATTGTTCTCATTTTTAGATGCATGCCATTAATTTATTTTCAAATACAGCCTAAACATTCATGACACACACACACACACAGAGATATTCCTTCTCATTTTATATTAAAGTTCATGATGAATTAGTTTTGACAAAAAAAAATGAAGAAATGCAGCATTTACATATATTATTGATATTAATTATTTTCAATACAACCTTGCACATAGTTTATTTAATTCCCATTCTATCACCATGCCAATCATTGTTGTGACTAATATACTAAAATATTTTCAAATATATTGAGTTTATTTTTCTAGGGCATGCTACTTAATCTAAATATAATTATTTAAGAAGTCTGAAGATTTAATTTTATCATCACATATGCATGTACTACATTTAAATATAAAACCTTAAGGAAACTTTATAGTTCAACAATTTAAATTTAAAAATTTATTTCATTTCTTGCCACTGAAATATTGAGATAAATGAAAACATCTTTCCAAAAGAAAATTTATGATGAAGGGATATTCCAGACATTCAAAAGTTTCATATTTCATTATGTATCAAGGGGAATGCTTACACTAGATGCTGAAAATGTATACATTATGTAGATGCCATTTTCTATGGTATCTGAAATGAAAAAAAATAAATTATCAGATCAAAGGTGAATAATAAATTTTCTGTTTTGTTTTACAGTTATACAATATAAGAAATTTGAAAAGTTGAGTATTATATATTAATGAAGCAAATTAAACAGATCATACTTTTATTTTTGTAATTTTCTATTTGTCATATTTATTTTTACATCATCATTCAGTTGTGTACAGTATTTGATTTCCCTCCCCCAGGTATAGTTCCCATATTATTCCCACCACAATAGCAGCCATGACCCATCAATACAGTCCCTTGTGCTCTTCCCTTTCCTGTTTTGACCCCTCTGCTTCCCCTTCTGCTGTATGTCATAGATGTATGGTCAGCTGGCAAGTTTTGCCTTTTTCATTTTGAATTAATATAATCAACTATGTGTAAACAAAATAATGCTGTCATTGTATTTTCTCATTAATGGTATTGACTGCATACTTGTCAATTCTAATTTTTCAAAGAATGCTAAATGATTTATGGAAATTCAAACAAAATAAAACTTTTATTTATGTAGATATATATAAATAAAGATAGATGATAGAGAAGGTATATATCTATCTATATATCACATGCATAGATATAGGAGATATATAGATATATGTGTATATATATGCCATTTAGATCACATATATGACATATATAATTGAATATATATATAACTGAATATATATAATTGAAAACATCATTTTAATTATGTTTTATTTCCTGTCTAGTTAACCATGCTACAATCAGTTTATTTTGGGAAGACATAGCACAAAACAATTTTAATTTGCATCTTTTCAATCCTTTTTTCTAAGTTGTATTGATTTGCCACTGATGAACATACCTATGTACTTTTGGGAGTACAATTTCAAACCTCATTATGTGTACATGCCACCCTCACACTATACCAACACTTCACAATAACCTTATCACATTCCTAACCCTATCATCTCTTACTTTACTTCATCCTCTCTTTTGATTGGTATATTTTTCATAGAGTCTAAAAATTATTCTTCTTTTGTCAGTTTCTTTTCTTTGGTTATTTGCATTTTTCCACAAGTAAGTGAGGCCATGCTGTCTTTCAATTTCTCACTTTCTCACTTATTTCACTTAGTATAATCTGTTTTTTTGTTCCTTTCCCCCAAAGTACAATTTCATCATTTCAAAGAGCTGAGAAGTATTCCATTAAGTATATATATTCTATATATATATAATATGCTTTGTATATAATACATAATATATAATATATAATATAATATATGTTATAAATGTATGAATATATATATTTGTCCATTCATCTGTTTTTGAGCATTTAGGTTGCTTCCATGACTTGGTATTTGTGAATAATGCTGCTATGAATATGAGTGCATAAATCTTTTCATATTAGTGTTTTCATATTTGTTGGGTAAATACCTAGAAGTGGTATTGCTGGTCATGTACCCACTGTTTTGTTTTTTTTTTTGTAGGAATCTCCACACCAATTTCCAAAGAGGAGCTCCAAGTTACATTCCCACAAATAGTTGACAAGTGTTGCTTTTCCTCCAAATCCTTGATTCCAGTCGTTTGGATATAAGCCATTCTTACAGGGGTTAGTTAATATCTCCTTGTGGCTTTGCTATGCATTTGCCTTAAAATAGGTGATGCTGACCATTTCTTCATGTGCTTAAAGGCTGTCTGTAAATCTTTTTTGGAGAAGTATGCATTTAAGTATTTTGTGCATTTTTAAATATAATTTGGAACTTAACTCCTTGTTGTGTAGATGACATATAAATATCTTCTCCTGGTTAAGAGGTAGTCCTTTTGTTTTTGTGTTGTTAACATTTATTGTTTTTTTTTTTGTTTTTTGTTTTTTTTTTTCCTTTGAATATTAAATTTTATTTTTATATTCCCCATACAATTGCAAACGCCCCATTCTGACCCCAATCCTTCCCCTCCCGCCCCCCACCCCAAAAAGTGTCTCTGGTTCATAGTTTTTTGTTGATTTTGATTTTCACTTTCTTATATTCATTTTCCTGGTCCCTTATTTAAGTTTTCTAGATTCCTGCTATGAGTGAGACCATTCGGTATTTTTCTTTTTCTTTTTGGCTTATTTCGCTGAGCATGATCCCTTCCAGTGCCATCCATGTTGCTGCAAATTGCATGTGTTTATCTTTTTTGAATGCTGAGTAATATTCCATGGTATATATGTACCACATCTTCTTGATCCAGTCATCTATTTTTGGGCATTTGGGTTGTTTCCAAAGCTTAGCTATTGTAAACAGTGCTGCTATAAACATAGGAGTGCAGGTGCTCTTTGGAATTGATGTTTCTGTGTCCTTTGGGTAAATACCTAGGAGTGGAATTGCTGGATCATATGGAAGCCCTATGTTTAGTAGGTCCAGAAATCTCCACACAGCTCTCCATAGTGGTTGGACCAGTTTGCACTCCCACCAACAGTGCACCAGAGTTCCTTTTTCTCCACATCCTCGCCAACATTTGTTGTTGCTAGTTTTTTTAATATGTGCCATTCTCACTGGTGTGAGATGGTATCTCATGGTAGTTTTGATTTGCATTTCCCTGATTACAAGTGATGTTGAACATTTTTTCATATGTCTGTTGGCCATTTGCATTTCCTCTTCAGAGAAGTTTCTTTTTAGCTCTTCTGCCCATTTTTTGACTGGATTATTTTCTTTGTTGTTGCTGAGTCTCATCAGCTCTTTGCAGATTTTTGTGATCAGTCCTTTATCATTAGTGTTGGGTGCAAAAATGTTCTCCCAGTTGGTGGGGTTTCTCTTTGTTTTTGTTATTGTCTCTTTTGCTGTGCAGAAGCTCTTTAATTTGATGTAGTCCCAGCTGTTTATCTTTCTCTTCACTATCACTGCTTTGGGTGATGTGTCTGTAAAGATGTCTTTGATGTGCAAATCCCGTAGTGTTTCGCCTATATTTCCTTCCTTTATTTACATGTGGTTATATTTGTTTATTTATTTTGTTTGTTTCCCTTACCATTTGGAGTTGAGTCCTCAAATGCTAAGGTTAATGTACACAAGCAAATTTCCTATGTTTATGTACTTTGTAGCTTCAGGTTTTATATCAAAGTTTTTAATTCAGTTTGAATTTATTTTGGGGTATCTATTTAAGTGATAGCCTGGTTCTATTTTCTTGTACATGGCTTGTACTTGCAAGGTTTTCCTTTTTGTATTATGTGGCCATGGCTTCTTTGTCATAAAATAACTTTCCATTTTTTTTTTTTTGTGGATTTAATTCAGGGCTCTATTCTATATACCATTGGTCTGTATTTCTGTTTGATACACTAATACAATGCTGCTTGAATTACTATCATTGTGTGGTAGAGTTTGAATCCCTGAAGTCAGTGATTGTGATACTTCTAATTTTCATCATTTCTTTCTGGATCATGGAGTAATTTGGATCTTTTGTGCTTCCATATGAATTTTGCAATTGTTTGTTCTATTTTCTTGAAGGATGTTTTAAGGATTTTTGATAGGTATACCACTGAATCTGTCATTGCTTTATATTAAAGTGGCCATTTTAACAGTTTTTATTGTTGAATCCATAAACACATGGTATCCTTCAATTTCTTTGTGTATTTTATTTACTTATATAGTGTTTATAGCTTTCAGCTTATAGATCTTTCACCTGCTTTGTTAATTTACTCTAGGTTATTTCATTTTTTTTTTGTTTGTTTTATTAAGTGGGACTTTTTCTTCATGTCTCATTTTATTTACTAATTCATTATTTGTATGTGAAACAACAGATTTGTGTGTACTGATTTTGTATCCTCCCACTTTTTTTTCTTGCTTTATTATTTCAAATAATTTTTCATGGAGTCTTATAGATTTTCTATCTATGTTATCATGTCATCTGTGGATAGTTGTAGTTTCACTTCTTTTCCAAATTGAATAACTTTTTGTCTTCTTCTTATCTGATTTCTCTGGCTAGTACTTGCAATAATGCTGAACATAAGGGGTGACAGTGGACATCCATGTCATGTTATTTATCTTAGATGAGTAGCTTTCAGTTTTTCAAAATTGAGTCTGGTGTGGTTTGTGAATTTGTCATATATGAACTTAATTATACTGAGATAAATTCATCTTATTTTCATTTTATTGAGAAGTTTTATCATAAGTGGTGTTGAATTTTGTCAAATGATTTTCACCATCTATTGTTATCTAGTGATATAATCATGATTTTTATCTTTTTCATTACTTTTTTGAATGATATTGATTGATTTGAATATTTTAAACCAGACTTGCATTCTCTATAATGAAATCCACTTAATCATGGTGAATGATACTCTTAACATATTGCTGCATTCTAGTTATTGCAGCAACATTTTGTTGAGTACATCTGCATCCATATTCATCATAGATCTCAGTCTATTTTTTCTGTATTGTATTATTTTATTTAGGGAATGAACGTGTTAATATAGAAGTTTATACCCCTGAAACATATGAATTGTTGTAAATCAGTGCTACTGCATAATATATAATGCAATTTAAAAATATTAACATAAGTTGTGATTGGGAAATATAATAAGACAACGAGTTTCTGTACCATCATAGGGTAAATGATTTTCAGGCTTTTCTGCCCTCCCACCATTAGGACTGCATGCCTGATAGCAGGCACCTGCATTTTGTTACACTGTTATATTTAGTTGTATTGTTTACTTCTGTGGGTCATGACTGCAGTATTTATATTCCCCAAGAGAAGAAGAGATAGGGGAGAGGGAGAGAAAGGGAGAGGAGAGGGACAGGGGCGGGGGGAGGGAGTGAAAGAGAGAGAGAGAGAAAGAAGAGACGAGACAAAACAAGACAAGACAAGACAAAACAAGACAAGAAAGAGCCCAGTAAAAAGACAAACCCCTAGCCAGGCTCACAAAGGAAAAAAGGGAGAAAGCACAAATAAACAGGATCATCAATGAAAGAGGAGAAATCACAACGGACACAGCAGAAATCAAAAGAATAATCAGTAACTACTATGAACAGTTATATGGAAACAAGTTCAACAAT